AAAACCTACAAAAATAGAAGTAATATTTTGGTCAGCTTCACAGGTGCATTGCCAATTCTGCCTTGGGCAGTAAAAAGCCCCATGAAGCTCTGATAGGTCCTGGGTTGGAAGATGATTTACTGTTGAGCTACTGAACCTCATAGCACCAGACTTTCTGCACAATAGAGACTGCAGGGTTCAGAAATCCCTGTAGCACTTCAGGCACCATTTGCCTTAGCTCTGCTCTTTGCTTTACACTTTGCTCTTTTTTTTTTTTTTCTTTTTTAAAGACTCGGAAGGTTCATTTGTGTACAGAGATCTTTCTTCTTTACAGTCTTTGGAACAATGGAAAATACTTTTATACTTCTGTTTCTGTTTGTGTTTTAGTGATTTAAGTGCTTGCCTCCTTCATAGATAGTGGCATAGGTAGTCTTTAAATGCTGATCCTGAGGATGAGAGATTTTATGTCTTTGGTCATAGCAGCACAGTTCTTTAGCCGGGATGTGAAGAAGAATCCATAGTAGCACCTCCTTTGTTGCTCAGAAATACCTTAATTTAGTCCAAATTAGGAGTTATCTTGAAATACTCCTCGGTACGTTCTGTGGAGTGGGAAGGATAGCAAACTCTATGGAGTTCAGCATGCTCCCGTTGAAGTCTCTGGTGGAAATAGAGACCTGTTTTACTGGAATACAGTAAATATTAATGTATTTGCTACCACTTGAAATAATTGGTGTAGGTTTAGAATATTTAGAGGTGTATTCTTGGATAAAGAATGCAGAAATACTGGGAAGTACAAATTGTTGTCAGGGAAGTAGTTCTTGTCTTCGCTTAATATTGTCTGTCTTATGCTTGGGGCCTGCTCCCTTACTTAAGGTACAGATAAATTTACTACATTTGAGAACCATAAAGTTTTCCTAAAACCTCTTCACCAATTTTCCTATACCTACGACCAGACCAAAGAGTTTGTTTCCCCATTCTGAAGTTGCTTTTTAAAACAAAGGATTGAGCTCCCCATTTATCTACTCATTCGTTCTTCATCTCGAGAGCTATCAGTCAGCTGGGCTGCTTTCTCAGGGCTGTGGCTAAGGGACTCAATGCAGGTATAAGCCACAGGTCAAGATGCATCTTCAGTGCTACCCTATTATGGGTGCATGACCACGTTGCTTCTGGCTGCCTCTGAAAACTGTGTTCCTGTGAAATGTGACTGTGAATACAGAACATCACCAGGAATTGCTTTGAGAGCCATTCTTCCCAGGCAGAAGATGTACAGAAGTGTTGTAGCTCCCTCTGAGAGTTAGCTGCAAGTCTTTGATTTGTTTTCTTATGCTTCTGAAGGGTAGTGGATCATGATGAATTATGTCTTCGGGCTGAGTGCACACGTAGAGCAAGCAGCCTGAACTCCCTCCTGACTTGAATAGAAGGTGGGTGGCCAGTGCTATTCTAAGGGAAGTTTCTCTCATGGATGGTGAAACTGCATCCTACATTTCTGGGAGGAAATGAAACAAAGGAAACTTTTTCCTTCAGTCTGACATTGCTCAGAAAGAAAACTGCAAACTGTAGTTGCCTCCAATGGTTTGCACTCTTAATCATTTTTTTACTACCAGCTTTGGATAGACTTCATGGGGTAACAGGTCTTAAAAGAGGTGAAGTAGCATGCGTATGTCATGATTACAGGCTGTATGGCTTTGGTGAGTTCCTGGAGTTCCACGTGGTCATCATTTTGTGATCCTAGCAGCTTTTAGTGTCTAAATGTTTAGTTTCTCCTTCTCTTTTGTTCCTTGTTTTGTGGGTGAACTTATTGGATACCAAGTCAAGAAGGAAAGAAGATGGAGCAATGAAGTCCATGGTAGCTGCCTGTTTCAGGCCAGGTTGGATGGGGCTCTGGACAAACCTGATCTGTACCTGATTTTGTGGTTAGCTATGCTGCCCATGGTAGGGGAATTGGAAAGAGATAATCTTTGAGATCATCCCAAGCCAAGCTGTTCTGTGGTTCTGTGATATGATTCTATGGAACTGCAGAGTGAAGTTAAGCCTCTAAATGAAGACCTCTGCAAATGTGCCGAGGTAACACGAAATTTTGGATAAACAAATCTCCATCACAGATTGCTCTGGGGCCAGGCAGCAGAATGGAAAAAGCAGATTTGTTCCCTCTTCTGCTGCTGCCTCCTGCCAGTCAGTTTGCTTCCTCATCCTCATTGCACATCCTCATCGTCACCACACGACCGCTCCCCACCATTACATCTGTCCTAAGTGGGTGGTTAAATGGGCGCACTGGGGAGCTCTGCCTTCTGCAGAGAGAGCAGATCGGGAGCATCCTGGCTTTCCAAGCAGTTGCTGTGAATTTCATGCCAGTAGAAATGACTTCTACCAAAGTGGATGGTTTCATGGATGTTGATTTTAGAACTGTGTTTTATCTTTTGATACACTAACATCTGATTATTTATTCTTACACCTCTGGCTTTGTAGTAGTGCTGTTGGTAGGATAAATCAGCTGCAGTACTGTTATCAGTTTCTAGAGTACATTGGCAGCAGGTGGAACAGAAACAGCTCTCTCCACTTTCTGCAAATAACCTGCAGCAGTTATTTATTTCCTGCATCCTGCTGCAAGTATGCCTTTCTTCATTATTTACTGGTGAATGAATAGGTAAGTATTCCTGCCATTGATTATTCCTATGCATTTTCTTGTTGTCTGTGCTCTCCCTTAAAAGGAAAGCATGACACAGATTAAAAAAGGTGGGGCTTTGCAAGCTGAAGTATATCAAAACCTTCCTCTTTGAGTAATGATTTCAGTAGAATTGCTGGGGCACATTCTGGAGACTCTGGTAAGTGCTCTGCACCCGTACATGGTGAGGCTTTGTTTTTCCTTTGCTTAAGAGTGTGTGCTTTTTATATGCTGAAACTGAGGTTGCTGCACCTCTGAAGTTCAGCACTACTCTTACCTGTCTGGAGGACTTTGCTTAAAGCCTGCTGTTAGGATTCTGTTGCTGCAAATAGTGGTTAGATTGATCTGAAACCTTCCTGAAAATGGAAGCGAGTCTTTTCAATTGCAGGCAATATTTTTAAAAGCCTGTTTATTAAAACCTCTATTAAAATTTATTGTTTACCACTTCTGTTCTATTTTTTCCATTGGTTGCTTCCAGGCTAGAGATTTCCTTCGATAATGCTCCTTTACGTGCTGAGGAAGCCGTATACTTAGCTGTACAGCTTAGAAGATGATTCTGATTTTTATCTAAGGGCTATTATTCTCTGGAACGTGCTGGTTCCAAACAGTTACACTTTGTCTGTGCCGTAAAAAAAATGTCTTCCTATCTATTTAGTGGATTGGAAGCATGATGAAAAGTGAATTGTGTTTGCCTGTTGCAGAGGCTATAGCTGTCACATCTCTTACAGTGTGTACAACTGCTGTTATTTCTGACACTCGTGGAGTTAACAAGTCTCTCTCCCAAATATCAGCTGAACACTGTGCTATCAGCACATAAACTTACAAGCAAATCCATTTTGCTTGTCTCTGGTTTTCAGGGTTCTTTTGCACCATCGCTAACTTTTCTCACTTTGTTTGCAGCGCGTTCCTTCTTGTCAATTATTTACAAATGCAGCGAGACAAACTTGAAATTCTTTAGTGCTCCGAATGAATAATTTAATGCCCTTGTTTCTATTTAATCTTCTCTGCTTACAGTTATGCCCATGGTCCATTTTCAATGTTAACTTACAAGGCAAATCAACAAGTGAAGTAAAGCTCGGCCAATAAATGCTTCACAAATCCAGACCAACACTCATTTCTCCCCGTGGATCTTTTGTCTTGAATTTTGCCCTTATGAACATTTTTCATCAAAAATAAATCACGTGCAGTAACGAGAATTGCACGGTGGATTCTTTATAACTATGCCTCCCAATGCAATCATCAGGCACACAGCTAAATAAGTGAGGTGGTGTGCATTTGCAGTTGCTTTAGACAATCCAGTTTTGTGTTATCTGCTTTTTTATGATGATAGTGAAATACAAATACAAATGTTTCTGTGAAAACTTGCCTTTTTCTTGCTTTGGGAGTTGCTCTAATGATGACTGCTGCTTCCAGCTGTCCTTGACTGGTAGTCAAGGTAGTTCTGCTTTTGGATAAAATCTGTGGGTAAGTGGCTTATTTTCCACTGGGTTGTTTCTGGTGCTCAGAAATGATCTATTCTCACTCAGGGGTGATTTTTTTAGAGCTGGAGGATGAGCGCTGCTGCACCTGGGAGGCAGCTTTTTCTCCATGTGGTATCACCTGAGGCACAAACCCAGTGTACACAGTGGGAGCAGAGACAGGAGAAAAGGCAGCATTGAAAGCAGTGAGATTTCAGCTCTGCGCCTTAGCTGAGGCTGCTCCACAGAGGGAAGCCAGCACCCTTACATGCTCTAGAGGGTAACTGCAGTGTGTTTGGTACTGAGACTGACTTGTTAACGAACTTTAAATTACTTACTGTCCTTCTGGGTGCATCCTTTGGCTGTCATTAGTGGAGCAGGTGACAGATGTGAGGGCTCTGAATTGAGGTGCTGTGGTGCTGCATCTGCTCTAAGTTTCTGGTGTCCTCCCCGTCCAACTTCTTTTTACATGATGGTTCATTTTCTGTGATTGAAAGTGTCACTTATTAATATCACACACCAAACTAAGAAGCTGCTCATTGTATATGAGCACTCAATAGCATAGTGTGCCCACCTGAGATGGCAGGGAAAGAGAGAAATGTTGGGATGAAATGAGATGTATGTGGCGGAATATACGTTCCTTTCTCAAAGCATGTTGACTTGGAATTCTTTCTGAGTGGGGAAAGAAAGACGAAAGTCTTCTTGTGGAATGAAATAGGAGAAAAGATTTCCTCTGAGTGCTAGTTTCACATTTTAGCAATCAATTCAATGTAAAATTTTTATGTTGAATTTGAATAAGCCCTCCCTTTACCCCCTCCCAGGACACCTTGTCCTTGCTGATCCTGTCTGTTGAAGGAAATGACCATGGCAGTGAGCCTTTCCCCTCTGCCATGCCATTCCAGGTTTCTGCAGGCACAATGAGGCACCGAAGAAATGGCAATTTTGAGAGTTCCAGACTCCTCAATTCCAGCATGTCTCGCAGCATAGATGTGTCGTGCAATGACAGCGTGAGTATCACGACATGGCTGATAAACTTGGGAGATGTTTCATCGATGTGTCAGCTTTGCTTTCATGGAGGTTTCCCAGTCAGATGGACCAGAGTTAACCAGAGTTTGGAAAGTATCATCAGGTTTAACCTCTGTAACCATCCATGCAAATGGGATGTTCTCTAGTCTACAGCTGACTGCATGGTGCCACTGCATTCAAGTAAGATGTTTTCTATGTGGGTCTTCTGGATTACAACTGCTGAAATTCGAGTAAGCTTTTCATGGCAATTCGTAGGGTTTAAATTCTGCTTTGGTGTTCAGGTTTTTTTATGGGGGGAAGCCCCACGTTCTGTTATATTGTGCTTGATAGAAAAGGATTGATATCACTCTTTTATTTGAGTGCCTGTCTGTGATGTTTAGCTGTCTTCTGTGTTTTGTCCGTTTCACTCAATGCTTTCTCTTTCCTCCCTGTCAACCACTTTGAGAAGGCAGACTTGAAAATCACACCAATTTCACTTTGTGCTTGAACTGGCTGTGCTGTTAACTGAAGTCTGTGCTGTTTCATAACCTGTTGAAAGTAATTCTTTTTTCCTCCCAAGGATTTGGTCAACTTCATTCGAGAAAACTTTAAGAAGAGAGAATGTGTCTTCTTTACAAAAGACAGCAAGTCAGTGTAAGCAGCCATTTTCCTCTGGTTTTGCAGATGTTGGGTGTCAGGAGCTGAGGGTATTGCTTCTTGCTAAGCCATGTGGCAGGGGTTGTTTGGGAAGCAGACTCAGGAGTCTGAATCCAGCAGTGCAACCTCACCTCAGTCTTGCTTATACAAGTCCTCTGGTTGTCATTGCTTGTTTGGTCTGTTAGCTTATGTCTGGGATATTGTTCAGTCGTGGTCAGAAGAACTGGAATTCTAATGGTAGGATAGGTACCCTGGGGTGCTTCTCCCAGCCCTACAAAGTGTTTTGATCACACACTCTCTATATGGTAATTTGTAAATTACATAAATTTAATGCTGTGCTAATATAACATACATTATAAGATTCATTTTTATGAAAGGAATCTACAAAGAAGATCAGATCCAACTACCTGCCCGCTTCTGGGTTATCAGAAATTGAAAGCACGTCGTTGAGGGCATTATCCAACTGCCTTTTGAACACTGGCAGGCACAGGGCATCGACCACCTTGCTAGGAAGTGTGTTCCAGTGTTTGACCACACCTGGGCTATATCCCTGTAATCTGCCCCCTATTATTTATGTCCCTGCCTCCATGTCTATACTTTTCCTTTTTGTGCTACCTTTGACTGAGAGGAGTAAGAATTGTATTAGCTGTGCTCCCAAACTGTTATCATTGTGTGGAGGGATATGTTGGTGATTCTGAGTTGCCTTGTTGCTACTCAGCAGTGAAAGAGCAGAAGCACATGTCCTTTCCCTCTCGATCTGACCATGTATTAGACCAGTCAGACCCTGGATTTACATTGAAAATGATTATAATGAACAGAACAGTAACTTTTTACTTTTCCTACCTGGTTAAGAGTGCAGAAAGGAGAAGAAACTATTTGTACCCTTAAGTTTAGTGGCTGATAAGGTCATCTGATGGTGTCTGATGCTGAAACCTGCTCTGACTCTTGAGTGTCCTGTAGGCTTTCAAATCAAGCTGCTGATGTTTTAACTTGGGTTAAGGTAAGGAAAGAAGTCATATAGGCCCATTCACTCTTCTTCCAGGGGCAATTTGTGTAAGTGCGGATACCCTGAAAGTCAACATATAGAGGGCACTCAGATCAATGATGATGAAAAGTGGAATTATAAGCAGCACACCAAGGAACTTCCTACCGATGCCTTTGGGGACGTTCACTTCGAAAATATAGAAAGGAGAGGAAAGGTAAGTCATCTTCTTGAAGGGCAAATGTCAGGCCCCATGGGAGTCCTGAATCCAATGCCAGTGGGGGTTCCTAAAAACAGGGAAGGTGAAGCTGAAGTAGATTTTATTCATAAGGAAATGGGAAGAGTTAGGCTAGAAAGGAGCTGAGATGGTTTCTTTAGCTGTGATAGCTGAAACAGGGAACAATTTCTTCTGTGTTATTTGTTTTATAGACTGATGTGTGTGTGTCTGTGTGTGTGTGTGTGTGTGAAGGTGTTTCCAGGTGTGACAGAAGAATTTGTTTGTTTGGAGTCTGGAGGAAATAGTTTCAGCTTGACCTGTGATGTCTGTGATGAGTGTATCTGCGTGCTGCTGCACTGCCCACTCTGTGTTTCTCACTGCTACTGAAACGTGATGGTGTTGAGGCACGACTGAGCACCCTTTTACCCATCTTTACTAGTGAACCCAGCACAGTAAGCTTAAGTGCCTGAATGACTGAGCTCCTGATAAAGATGCTTTTTTCCTGACTTTCTGACTTTAACATTAAGGCAGGGTTGTTTCTTAGAATGCTGCTCCTTTTCAGTGTGGATAAACTTATCCTTTAGAAAGAAAATGGTGGGAGACTGCGCACCAGTGTGACTCCTGGGGCAGGAGCATGGCTAACATGCTTTGCTGTTGAAGGTGCAGCAGGATTCGGGAGATAATAATCATAGAGATTTCACATCTGGAAGGATGTAAGACCTTTTTTCTGAGGATCTGTGCTCTTCAGTACAGAAGCTGCATGCACGTACCTGGTTGGTTTTCTCCAAAATCATCACTTGTGTTTTTAATGGTGTTACCATTGCATGGCATGTCGTTGCTGCCTGCAGAGCTTTCTGACCACTCACCTTTTTCTCCCCCCCTCTTTCCTTTTTCTCCTCCTCTCTCCCTCCCCCCCCTTTCCTTTTTCTCCTCCTCCCCTGCACCTTTTTCTCCTTGCCCCTATCCCCCAAATCTGAGGTAATTGAAGACCCTCTTCAGTGAGGGGCAGGAAGATTTACGCTCTGCATCCCACTCCCAAGGTCACACCAATATTGTGGTAGAGATGCCAGATGTGAACAGGCCAATCAAAAGTCTACCTTTACTAAGTCCTCCTTCAGCTCGTTTATTTCTGCAGTATTGCTCAGAAGCTGTGCCATCCAAGAACGTGCAGTTTCTGTATTTAATGTTCTGGCGGCCTTCAGCCTGGATAAAAGCTTGCTTTGCTGAATACCTGTCTGAATTCAGCTGCAGAGACGCCTGTTATTGCCTGGGTGTGATGGTCCTCGAGTCTGTGGGCATGCATTAGCTGGGTGCATCAGGCAGATGGCACTGTTGGATTTTGGAAATAGCGAGCTGCGTTCAGCTGAGCGGGTTACAGCCTGGCATGGACTGGAGGTGGAAAGTGCCAGGTGGATGGTGGGGCTCAGAGCCTTGTATAGGGGAAATGCCTTCTACTACAGAGCTAATAGGAGTTGCTTTGGCTGTTCTGAACCATTTGCAGGAACTAGGCTTGGGAACCTTCCGAGAACATAGGAGTGTGTTGTTTGATTCAATTTGAATGCCTTTCAAGGTGTTTTTTTAGCATAGAAAAAATAGAACTGTGATTTTTTTTTTACATAAATGGAGAGATGGTAGGACTATCTGAAACGAGTTATCTATGTTCTTTATGGCATCCTGACAGACTGTTCAGACTTTGCTGTGAGTTTGATGCAGTTAGTTTTGTTACAGTTAGAACTGCTGTACCACAGACTTGCTTGGTGTTCATCCTGTGGATCCAAGGTCTATGAGTGGAAGGTTTGGGAAGCCTTACAGTGACTCTTCAGGCCTCTGAAGGGAGGATTTCAGTATTGGTCAGGGGGATCCTTTCCTCCTTGGGCTTGAGATGCTAGGAGTTGTTTCTGTAGATCTTTTTCAAGACTTGTGCCTGTGCTCTTTCTTCTCAATGCTTCTGAATTATGCAGTTATTTCCATTGGATTTCTCACTTCTAAAACTATTTTTACCTGCCTCACACATTTACACTCAAACATTGATTGTTATTGCCCATTGATTTCTTTTTACAGACTGCTACCTGTGCCATCTGGTGTCAGCATTCTTCCACACCACCCTCATTCTGGTCGTACATCGTTCAGTCTCCACAGAATAGCTACTTGTCATCATTATGAGCTAAAGCTAAGGCAAACACAGACAGTGCTTGCCAGATTGCCAGACGGCTGCTGTCACGGCTGTAACCAGTTCACACCAAACTGATTCTTAGGATGTCGATTCATTACAGAGACAGTGAACTTCAGGTTGGATGTTAGAGAAATTTCTTCTCTGGAAGAGTGGTTAGGTGCTGGAATGGGCTGCCCAGGGAGGTGCTGGAGTAACCAACCCCGGAGGTGTTCAAGAAACTTTTAGATGTTGTACTAACAGATGTGTTTTAGTGGGAAACACTGGTAGTAGGTGAATGGTTGGACTGGGTGATCATGGAGGTCTTTTCCAACCTTGGTGATTCTATAACTCAATGATTTTCACTAGTAGTGGCAAATATGTTTCCTGTGTCATGCAGTTTATCTTCGGTGCAGTTGAAGATGTATGTGGCAGAACACAGGGTACAGTCACGGCACTGCAGCTCACCCAAGTTGCAGTTTTGGGACTGAAAAGGCAGAGCTGGGAGACTTGAGATGAGCAGTCGTGTTCTTCACTATGCTGCTGGTTGTAAGCTACCACTCAGTGCTCTGCTTTAAGACCATCCCTTATCTCTAGACCTGATCTACAAGTAGAGGAAAGTACCTCAGAAATACCATGCTGTAGGTTGTAGGGAGAATATAAAGATGCCTTAGAGGAAGAAATAAATACTTAAGCTCCGATTCTTCATCAGTTCACTTGCTGCCCACCAGCTGTTGCAATGAGAGTGTACGATAGAGAAGAAAATACAATTCCTGGTCTGTTTCCAGCTATCAGTGTTTATCTCTTGTTATTTTTCTCTTATTTTTTCTCACTGAAGTACATCCGTTTGTCATGTGACACAGACCCTGAAACACTCTATGACCTCATGACACAGCACTGGCACCTGAAAACCCCTAACCTTGTCATCTCTGTCACTGGAGGGGCAAAGAACTTCGCGCTCAAGCCCCGAATGCGCAAGATATTCAGCAGGCTGATCTACATTGCCCAGTCCAAAGGTAAAGATCTGCACGTGGATTTGCATTGCTACACCCGCATAAGGCTGATGGAGAGAAAGCAGCTAAGAGGGTCAGCAGGGAAGCAGAGTGTTCGTGTTGTTTCTGCTTGGCTGGTGCATGTGGGACAAATGTTATCTATCAGTTTGTAAGTTAGAGAGTTGAGAACTAGTCCTTTGGATACCCGTGGCAACATAAGGTAGGCTGTGTGGCATGTATTGTGGTGTGTCCCCCAGGGGTCGGTACTGGGGCCCATCCTGTTTAATATCTTCATTGACGACTTAGATGAAGGGATTGAGTGTACCCTGAGTAAGTTTGCAGATGACACCAAGTTGGGAGGTGGTGTCGATCTGCCTGAGGGCAGGGAGGCCCTGCAGAGGGATCTAGATAAGCTGGGCTGAGGTGAATGGGATGAGGTTCAACAAGGCCAAGTGTCGGGTTCTGCACTTTGGCCACAACAACCCCATGTAGCGTTACAGGCTTGGGGATGAGTGGTTGGATGACTGTGAAGAGGAAAGGGACCTGGGAGTGTTGGTTGATGCTCGGCTGAACATGAGCCCACAGTGTGCCCAGGTGGCCAAGAGGGCCAACGGCATCCTGGCCTGCATTAGAAATGGTGTGGCCAGCAGGAGCAGGGAGGTGATCATCCCCCTCTACTCAGCACTGGTGAGGCCGCACCTCAAGTACTGTATTCAGTTTTGGGCCCCTCACTACAAGAAAGACAATGAGGCCCTGGAACGTGTCCAGAGAAGGGCAACGAAACTGGTGAAGGGTCTGGAGCACAAGTCTTATGAGGAGCGGCTGAGGGAGCTGGGATGGTTCAGTCTGGAGAAGAGGAGGCTCAGGTCAGACCTCATTGCACTCTACAACTTCCTGAAGGGAGGTTGTGGTGCATAAGGGTCTGGCCTCTTCTCCCAGGCAAATAGTAGGACCCGAGGAAATGGCCAGAAGTTATACCAGAGGAGGTTTAGGTTGGATATTAGGAGAAACTTTTTCTCTCAAATGGTGGTCAGGCACTGGAATGGCTGCCCAGGGAGGTGGTGGAGTCGCTGTCCCTGGCAGTGTTCAAGAGCGCCTGGATGAGGAGCTACAAGAGATGGTTTAGTGCTTGTGGTACTAATAGGAATGGGAGGATGGTTGGACTAGATGATCTTGCAGGTCATTTCCAACCTTGTGATTCTGTGAGATTTTATGTTTAACTGAAGGATAAATGCCTCAAAGTGTCAAGTTTTGAGTGGGAGTGGGATTGTGGTCTTTGAAAGGGAAGGTATTCCACTGTATCCTCCCGTGTTATCCCTCCACATTGTCCCCAGGGGCCTGGATTGTCACAGGAGGCACAAATTACGGGCTGATGAAGTACATTGGGGAAGTGGTCAGAGATAACACCAACAGTCTGAGCTCCGAGGAGAATGTGGTGGCTATTGGCATAGCAGCCTGGGGCATGATTTCCAACCGAGAAAGCCTGATTCGCAGCGGTGATAATGAGGTAAGAAACATAAACAGTCAGTGGGGAAATAATGATAGGGCTCTGCTCTAAATTATGCAAATTACATCCTTGACTGCTGCTCTGAGCAGTGATGGGCTCAGCTGATGCTATCAGTTATGTGATGACTGACTTGAGCAATTAGCAAAGAGGTCTTCTTATTATGTTATGATAGACCTGAGCTTGCTGGACTTTTTTTTCCCAATGAAATGTTTGTGTAGAAACACAACAACAAACTTAACAACACAACAGTTAGCTTTTGTGTACCTGAAACAATTCAACTTGGGCCCAGCTTTTCTTCAGCATACGTTGCAGGGAGATGAAATACCAATTGCTCTTTCCAAATCAGAAAGGTGCTAAGGTGTTCTCTTATGCAAGATGGTCTCAAACATCAGGTCTGGTGTGGGGAGGATCAGCTGGTGATTCCAGCTGTGGGCTTAGCACGCCTGCATGCTAGTTCAGCTGCTCTAACTTCATGTCTGACAGTTACGGAATACCTCTTCCACACTTACTCTAGCTGTGAAATCCTTGCGTATTTGCCCACAGTGGGGATTCCCATTAACTAAGACACCCTGTGCCACCTGTCCCTGTTGAGGCAGTCCCATCAGTCAGATACACTGGCACATCTCCTTTTCTGTCTTGCATAAGCTAGCTCTTACAAGCATATCTAAAATCCATCCAGTTAGATAAGAAAACTGATGAGTGTACTGATGGCTCTGAGATGATTTGGGGATTGGACTAGATGATCTCAACAGGACCCTCCCAGAATTTTCGAGTCCCTCAAATTCTGCAATTCTCTGATGTGTTGAAAGTAAGTTTTCTGCAGATTTAATGTTTCCAGTGGCTGAAGGAAGCATACTTGCCTCCTGCATTGCTTGACAGATCTTCAGAAAGGACTAAGCTGTTTGAACTAATTTCTTTCTGTTCCATTACCTGAAATGAAGTTATGGGAAGATCATCTCAAATCTGTACTTGTGAAGAAAACAAGATATTTCTACTATGCTCTTCCATGATGTTTCTCTCACAATCTTTTGTTGCTGTTGGGACTGTTAGTGTATGGAGTCAGGACTCCTAAATGATAAAGAATAACTGGTGTTTGGAGGTTCAGCTGCCACTGGTTTGACCTTCAAAACTTGTGCATGCTTTGTCCTTGCTTTTCTGTTAAACACTGTGCTTGTGATTCTAGGGGTACAACTTGGCTCATTACATAATGGATGATCTCAAGAGAGATCCCCTCTATTGCCTGGATAATAATCACACCCATCTCTTACTGGTTGACAATGGCACCCACGGGCACCCGACGATAGAGACAGAAGTACGAACTCAGTTAGAAAAGTACATTTCGGAGCGCGTTATCCCAGGTAGGTGTGGATATCAGGTTGCAGACCTCCTCCTCCTTGGAACTTGCTTGCTCTGGGGCTCAGTGCTCATTCCAAGGAATGAAAAAGCAGTAGAATCATCCCTTGAACGATAAGTGGGAGGAGTGTGTTATCTGCATTTCATCTCGAGCACTTCCAAGAATGAGCAGTCTTCTTCAGAGCCATCTCTTTCCCCTCATTGCCATTTTTCATGTGACAGTAGTCCTTTGCAGGACACAACAAATAATCTGCTTTAGCAATGCAGCCCTTCTTACTCTTCCTTCTCTTGGAAGCTGACTACTGACTTCTGCATGTGGCCCAACTGGCACTGAGCTGAAGCACAGCTACACAGGAGCTGATATTATGCTTTATAAAAAACATCAGTGATGATCCATCTGCATCCTGCTTATAAACAGTTTCTTCTTTGGCCCCTTCTTTGCTAAGAAGGAAAAAGACAAAGGCCTTGGCAGCTGCTCTTGACTTTTTGTCTCTTAAAAACCAACTGGAGTCATGTGGTTCTTAGCTTTCCTTTACCATTGAAAACGTGGAATCAGCAGTTCTGAATCTTCAACTTTTGATAAGAACCTTGCATCTAGACTCCAAATGATCAAAGCAATAGGTAAATAGAGAGAAATCAGATGTTGGGGGCTTCAGAGCTACTAAAATTATGATTGCTAGGAAGAAAAAAAGCTGGAGAAGGCTGATGCCAGCTTAGCAGAATGTTAAGCAAAACTGAGTTTTCATTAAAAATAAGTTGTTATTGATAGATTTACCAAAATCAACAGTAAACTGGTATCAAAATGAGTGCACGAACAACTCAGAAATGACGTCGTTGAACTGAAGAAAACAGGTTGGTCCAACTGCACTAACAGGTTGAATCTTTTTTTCTTTTGGCCTATTCCACAGAATCAAATTACGGTGGGAAGATTCCAATTGTATGTTTTGCTCAAGGAGGAGGGAAAGAGACTTTGAAAGTGAGTTTATTTCTTTCATTTGTTTCTTTCACTTTTTCCAGGAGTGACATAGGAATGTTGCTCTTGTATATCAGAAGAGTCTTTGTCAGCCATGTCACTACTGACCTTTAGTTTATCTGATGGTTTGGTTTGCCAAAATTTGCCTTGCACTTGTTCAGTGGAGATTAGTATTTTCATTTCATACACTAAGAGGATCAGCTTATGTTGGAGATACTCCAGTTTAAAGCCTGCAAAAGCTGACCTTATTGCTGATCCTGTGAACTGTAGGCCACATCTAGTTTAAACCTAGAGAGCCGAACAGGTGAGCTAATACTGAGGCTAGTCAAACTGGTGACAAAAAATGTTCCTAATAATTCTAAGCACGGTCTCTGTTACCATTTCATTGCTAACATTAATCAAGTAGTCTGTATCACTCTGTGAAATCGTTACCCCAGCCTTTCTGTAAGTTTCCTGGTGTTTGATTCTACTTGTGTGATTAATTTAGTTTTGCCCACAAGCATACTGTAGATGAGTGCAGATGCAGAGTTCAGTATGCTAATCAGAAGTCCAAAGATAAAGACGAGATGAAAGCATCCATTCATGTTTTAGAGTGAAGCTTTGCTGTAACTGCTATCTTCTTTTAGTTTCAAACAGCCAACTTTTAAGAGAGGATTTTACTAGAACTGAAGGAGTTGTACTGAATGCTGTATAAGAGCAGCTGGTTGAGAAGCACTGTGATTGCCTGTATGGAGAGACATCAAGCCACCATGATGCATAATATATTTACTAGCTATCTAATCAGTATGATAAAAGCCACGTCAAATTAAATGCTTCGTTCATGGAAGGAGGATCCTCTGAAATGTTACTGGATGATGCTTCAAGGATGGGTTCATGCCAACCATAGGGTTTACTCATTAGTGCTAATAATATACTCAGACATCTTTGTCTGCCTTCTTGCTCATTTACAGATAAAATCAAAACCTATCTTCTGCAGGAGTGAACTGAGTCTCTGACCAGCTCAAAGTGATCAGCAGGTTTCATGCTGCAGAAGTCTGTTTGTGTAAGACTATTGGCTTTTCCTCTAACAAATAAAGCTGGAGCCCTTGTGCTCACCTTTAGTGTTACTTAAGCAACACTTGTCCATAGAAGAGTAGTGACTGTCGGTTTAAGTCGGATGTTGAGAAGAATATCTTCACAGAAGGGGTGGTCTATGCTAAAATTACTAGGCTTTCTTCCTGAACAGTATTCTTGAATAACTAGTATTCTTGAATAGCACAGTGGTGCTGCAAGTCGTCATCTTTCCTCTTTGCTCCCTAGTCTATCCATGTGGCCATCAAAAGTAAAATTCCCTGTGTTGTTGTGGAAGGCTCTGGACGGATAGCTGATGTTATAGCTAGCTTGATGGAAGCAGAAGACACTCTTACTTCCTCGTGTGTCAAAGAGAGCTTGCTGAGGCATCTGCCTCGCACCATTTCAAGGCTCTCGGAAGAGGAGACTGAAAGCTGGATCAAATGGGTAAGTAGTATGTGCTGTTGTAGAGAGCTGGTGAGGTTGAAAGCAGCAGAAAGGTAGAAAGGAAATGAGGTCAGGAGCAGCCAGGTTTTAGGGGAGCAGCATGTACTGCATACATGTAATGCAGCTGAAGGTGGAACAGTGCACATACGCCAGCAAATTCGTTTGCTTTTTTTTTTTAAATCTTTGACCACAGATAGAACCCTCAGAATTCAGATGCCATGCTGACTGTTTATTACAAGAGTTTTCTTTGGAGACTGGGGAGACTGGAGGACTTAGGAGAGCATCTCCTATATTGCTCGGGCCAGACTCAGGAAACTGTTTTGACTTTCCATTTACCTGATCTTCTGACTGACCTGGTTTTAGATATAATTCTGCCCTCCTAAATAGGGACAAAAAAATGGAGCTCTAGGAAAATCTTGATGTTTTTCTGAAGTCTTTGTTCCAACAACACTTCTGCCTTGTAGTCCGTTAACTTAGGTTAATTGACTTCCTCAATTAAAAGCCAGTGCTTTATTATAGGGTCTGACTCAGTTTTCCTCTTCTGTTTAATTATCTCCTGCCTTCATGGTAGGGAGCAGAAGGTGGGAAGTGATTGCATGTTCGTAATGGGGGTGGAAAATGATGGATTGCTTCTTGTAAGTCTCCTTCACTCACTTTTTCCCCTTCTTTATTTAATATTAGTTATTTTTTATGTATGTACCATTGTAAGTTGTTTGCAAGCTCCAGATAGAGATTCAGTCGGTCATACTTTAAGAGTAGTTCCTTATTACTGATACTGTGGTTTTTGGGATGTTTGCTGTATTCGGAGTAAAACTAATCTTATACTTCAGCAGCTTAAATCTCATCTGCTCCTGTCTGGACTTGTGTAAATTTTAACAACTGTACTTGGAAACAGGACTGATGAGATGGAAGTTGGCTACAGTGTGATGGAAGATTTCTTTTAAAGAGGCTCTAGGAGATCATCTGCTAAACATTCTATATTGCTTTGAGTTGAAACTTCTTTTTGTAGATCAAAGAAGTCCTTGAGAACCCTCATTTGCTGACAGTTATCAAAACAGAAGAAGCTGGAGATGAAATTGTGAGCAATGCCATTTCTTTTGCTCTGTACAAAGGCAAGTAATTGTCTTTCTGTTCTGTCATTTTGTGTGTGTGTGGTATTTTTGTGTGCTGCTTTTTAAACAGGCGGACAAAGATGGGTTACTCTGGGATTCTGAATAGTGGGGTTTTGCCCTGTGCAAACGTATTTTCATAAACTGAGTGTTCTGCTGAACCTGGAATCCATCAGTCCTTTTGCATGCAACATTTTCTTAAACTTGAAGTAACTGTCCCAGTGGGAGATGGGTTTGGTTTAGCATTTGGTTTTACTTGTGTTCATTTAATTTTCTCCTGCGAAATTCCCTATTGAAATTAGTATTGAAGACATAAATGAGTTTAAAACAAACAATAAAAATAACAAAATAGTACCATTTTCTGCATGGTGTGTGAAACTGAAGGTGTGATATGCATGCATGAGGCGCTAGGAGTGTCTGTAAGCTTTGGGAATCCTCTAAAACCCAATCAGGAAGATATAGATGAGTCTGGGGAAAGATGCCTGATACAGGGCTCTTGTTGAGCAGAGCGTGAAATCAGAGATGAATAAGTATGCCAAGAAGCTCTTCTGTCTCTGGTCTTTTACCTAGAGGATTGTTCCTCCTCAGCAGCTTTCAGCACCAATGAACATAACAGAGATAACTGGAATGGGCAGCTGAAGCTGCTGCTGGAGTGGAACCAGTTGGACCTGGCCAGTGATGAGATCTTCACCAATGACCGAAACTGGGAGGTACAGATGGTTTCTGAGTACGGTGATATGGGCGAGGGGAGAAGGGGGAAGAGAGACATGGTAACAGCAGCAGTGTCTCAGCGTCCCACCCTCTGTGGTGATACTTAAGACCACCTTTTCCTCCTTGCACTGGTATCGTAGGCAGGTCATGCCAGAAGTACTGGAGGCCATCCAACAAGTGCAATTACATACGTGAAAAACTGTTTCTCATGAAAGCGTGCCAGCCTGAAGGAAAATATGGCACTTAGCTACAGGTATCAGTCCCCTTAGGTAAGCTTTTCACATCCCATACGACTGCTGATATTTACTCTTCCATTTCTTCCTAGTCTGCTGACCTGCAGGATGTCATGTTCACAGCCCTAGTGAAAGACAGGCCCAAATTTGTTCGTCTCTTTCTGGAGAATGGTCTGAATCTGAGGAAATTCCTTACCACAGAGGTCCTTAGAGAGCTGTACACCAACAACTTCAGCAGCTTGGTGTTCAAGAACCTGCAAATCGCCAAGAACTCCTATAATGATGCACTCCTCACGTTTGTGTGGAAGATGGTTGAAGACTTTCGGAGAGGTCTCAAAAGAGATGATAAAAATAACAAGCATGAGCTGGAGATACATCTTTCAGTGAGTGATTTCCATTTTGCATCCCTGAAAAGGAGGGGAAAAAGAAAAAGGAAAAGCTATGTTTTATTTCTAGTATAGCAGGATTTACTTTTAACAGTCTCAGCCTTATTTTTAACTTAACATGTGGTCCCATTTTACCAATACATGTAGGGATTGTTTAGCTATGAGCAAAGTGGGTGGATGTATTTGGATGTTGAGTTATAATAATTTATATTGCAGTCATAATCATGACATATCAATGTCATAATTATGCTTATAATTGAAACCAACATAAATGCAGAGTCCAGTACAGAGGTGCTAGCTGGGCATGAGTAATCAGAACTTATAACCTGGTACAGACCATGGTATTTTGTACCAATCTGCTCTAGAGCAAAGAAGTTGATGGTGTAGAACTTTAAGGACTTGTTCCAGAAAGCAGTTTAGTTGAACTTTGGTCTGAAGAATTGTTGCTTTTTCTTTTTTCTTCAGACTGAGTGTCCTATCACAAGACATCCATTGCAAGCTCTGTTTATCTGGTCTGTTCTTCAGAACAAGAAAGAGTTATCCAAAGTCATCTGGGAACAAGTGAGTTGAGTTGTTCTTAGCTCCTGTTTGTAAACAGCACAGTGATGCTCCTCGTCTTCAGGTTGTTGGCCATAGAACTGTGGTAGACAATTGCAAGGTGATTCAGTAAGTAGGTTTACTGTTATCCATTTTGTGTTTGGGCCTGAATTTCATACTTTCCTTCCATAATGCTAGATACATGTCAGCAGTCCAAACTAGTACTTACACATAGCTACATTTTCTTGTCTGTTTTCAGTCTTGAATGTTAAGTGCCCCCCATTCTGCAATATGAAAGCGTTGTGATCCCAGGTATTTGATTGAAATCCATTTCTAAATTTGATTAGAGATTCAGATATAATTGCATCAAATGCATAATTCACAGACTGCAACTGTGATGCTAATGCATGCAAAGCTGATGGATGCTCCTGCTCACATTGGTCTCTGTCTCCAAAGCAGAGCGCTTCCTCCCTGGAATATACTAACGTAGTCAACTGGTCCAGGTGGGTGTACTGTGAATACAGGATTGTAGTTCCTGGCAGAGCAGACCCTCTTCTGTGCATCTTCAGCCAGAGATGCAAAGCTGATATCTGACTGAAAAACAAAAGAACTTTTCAGACTGGTCACAAAGTTGTTTCCAACCCAGTACAGAGATAGTTGTTACCGTTTGTGTCATGGAACTAGATCTTCATTTGCCAGTCTTGACTGGGAACACAGCAGCTGCAAAAAAGGGGGTAATGTTTAAAGAATACATCACTTTCCCTCTTCAGAGGGGTTTGCATGACTTAACTCTCTCTCCACAGACCAGAGGTTGCACTTTGGCAGCTTTGGGGGCCAGCAAGCTCCTGAAAAGCATGGCGAAGGTGAAGAATGATATAAATGCTGCTGGTGAGTCTGAGGAACTTGCTAATGAGTATGAGACAAGAGCAGTAGGTAAGTGCCTTCTTTTAAGCCCTTTAGAAATTTAATAGACGGGTCAGAGAACAGGAAACTGTTGCATTTCTTTGAATGTTACTGGCTTTAGCGATCTCCAGATCTGATGTACAGCAGTGCTTGCCTAGCAGTGCTTTTATTTTGTGCAACATAATGCAAAATGAAAGCAGAATGCAAGGAATATTGTTTATTCAGTTTGCTGCAATACTTCCCAGAAGGCTAGCCTGATTTGTAAAGAAGAGTATGACGTTTCAGGAAGAAGTAGAAAAACCCTTTATTTAGAAAACTAGTTATCCAGCATGAAATCATAGAAATATAGAATGGTTTGGGTTGGAGAAGGGACCTTTGAAGATCACATAGCCCGAGCCATCCCACACTATCTTTCACTAGATCAGGTTGCTCAGAGCCCTGCCCAACCTGGCTTTGAACACCTCTAATGATGAGGCACCCACAACTTCTCTGGGCCACCTGTTCCATTAGCATTGTGATTTTCACTGCTTAGAACTGTTTTCCACACCATCTGTTCCCATTAGAAACTGTTCTGTCTGAACAGCTTGCCTCCAAATATGAGTGTTCAGGGATTTTTTCTTTTTTTTTTTTTTGGTGGAGAATTTCTTTCCTTAGGAAGAAAAGCTACCTGGCTGTAATGGCAAGGCTGAAATAGCAAGGACAATATAGAGTAAGAGAAACTTTCTTCATGAGAGCTGGTAATGTTTGGGTTGAGAGGAGTCATCCTTCAATTTTGCAGTAGTACTGCAAAGTAGGAGTGAGAATAAATTGAGATAAAAAGTATATTGAGTTCCTGAATTCAACGTCCTAAGCCTTTGTTATTCTGCAAAGAAAAGCACTGCTGCCACTCATTGAGAATGCAGATCTAGATCATGCATTCTAGGTCAGTCATTTTACTTTTTATGACCTCTGGTTTCTCCTGCTAAAAGGGTTGTCAGTGGTTCAGAATTGAGTTCTACATCTCATGAGCTGGAGTAACGAGTATTTCTTATTTAAAGAAGCTAATTGGTGTCAGATAGTTGGGGTAGGGCCCATCATCCCATAACTTGGAGCAAAATACAATACACTGTTGCCTTTAAAGACTTTATTGCAGGTTATGGCCTTGTTCTCTTGACTGATCTGCTTATACAAATGGCAAGTCTGTAATTGCATTGTCAAGCAATTTGCTGTCATATCCACAAATCAGATTAGATAATGGTTAACGTGTAACAGCCCATGTTATGCAAACATTGCTGTGCATCAGATCTGGAGATCAGATCTGACAATGTCTTGCTTGTTACCAGAAAGTATCTCCTGCTTCACAAGGTGAAAACCACTTAGACTTTCTTAAAGGTATCCAGGTCTCTTGGATCTGATACAGAGAAATGACCACTGAAGTCTGTTTTCAGGACTGACCTGGTAATACCAGCTGAAGGTATTGCTGTATGTATGCATCCTTGCAGTTATGGTTAAAAGCTGTTTGAAAAACACCTAGGGAAATATGTTGCTGGAGAGGAGCACTTCCTCAGTTCTTAGTATAGAATGCACCTTAACACCATCCCTGTGTAAGGTGACTTTATATTACAGTTTTTCATCCCAACCCGAATTCTGCATGAAAGCTTAATGCATGCAAGTCTATTATGTGTAAAGTGTATGCACATGTTGTTTTATCATGCTGAAAATTTGGAAAGAAGTCTTCAGTCTGCATGGTTTAATGTTCCATTTTTTAAGTCAGTGAGGGAAATTGCATCCAAGTTGGTGAAATACTGAGTGTGAAGTTGGAGCTCAGTGTGTGATTGTGCTGGAAAGTCTATGTACAAGTATGCAGCAAGTGCTGTATGAACAAGTGTTAATGCTGCAGGACAGGATAATTCCTGCTCTTTGAGCTCTACAACTGTTTCCAAATGGGGAAGAGGCTTGGAAGAGGTGCCTTCTCTCCTTATGGACCTTCCTCTTTCCTCCAGAGCTGTTCACCGAGTGCTACAGCAATGATGAAAACCTAGCTGAGCAGCTGCTGACCTATTCCTGTGAAGCCTGGGGAGGGAGCAATTGCCTGGAACTAGCAGTGGAAGCAAAAGACCAGCAATTCATTGCACAGCCAGGAGTGCAGGTAGTATCAGTGCAAAGGTGGTGCACGTATCACTGTAACTCTTGTGATCTGGGTGACTTTAGGAAGAAAAGCAAATATTCTTGCTGTCAAAATGCTGCATCCACATGAATAGCCTGTGGAAACTCCACTGCTCAGGCACTGTCCTCATGCAAGTCAGAACCTACGGGAGTGCTGTGAAATGCATTCCTTCTTGTGGCTTTCATCCCTCCTGGAAATGGCTGAATTGTCGAGAGGGGAGGATTATTTAGAGCAGTAGATCATAAAATAAAATAAGAAAAAAAACCCTGATGATAAAGACTGCCCAAAGTGGCTTCTTCTTTGGCACAGCTTCTGTGTTCACACAGTGTGGATATACTGCCTAGTATAAAGTGCCTCATAAATCAGTTCAAGGCCTGTTTAGGCTCACATTCAATTCTTTGTCAGATAAACTAAAGGATGACTGGATTAAGGAACCAGCACACTGTTACTGATGCTGCTGTATTTTTGATATAGGAATAATTGTTATTTTGTTTTTAATCTGAAGGTTTTTTTCTTCTAAATCAAACTTGCTGTGATAGCATTCCTAAGTTATTTTGTTGTTCTTGAAACAAATGAGAGTATTTTCCTTTTCCCTGCAGAATTTCCTTTCCAAGCAGTGGTATGGAGAGATTTCAAGAGATACTAAGAATTGGAAGATTATACTGTGCCTATTCTTTTTCCCTTTAATAGGCTGTGGTTTCATTTCATTCAGGTAATCAATTGGATTCTCGTTAACAGAATTAAAGCAAGTCAATTAATCGTAGAATCACAGGGCAATTCAGGCTGGTAGAGATCTCTCAAGATATTCCCTTGCTGCAGCAAATTGCCCAGGATTGTGTCCAGTTGAGTACTGAATAGGAGCTGTGATGGTCTGCAGCACGGGTCTGATGGGGAGCGGCTGAGGGAACTGGGGTTGTTCAGTGTGGAGGAGAGGAGGCTCAGGGGAGACCTCATCGCTCTGCAGCTGCCTGCAAAGAGATTGTGGTGAGGTGGGGTCGGCCTCTTCTGCTGGATGACAGCAATAGGACGAGGAGTAATGGCCTGAAGTTGCACCAGGGGAGGTTCAGATTGGATGTTAGGAACAATTTATTCTCAGAAAGAGCAGTGCTGCAGTGGCACAGCTGCCCAGGGGTGGGGGGTCACCGTTCCTGGACGTGTTCACAAAACGTGGAAATGTGGGGCTGAGGGATGTGGTCAGTGGGAATGGTGGGGTGGGTTGAGGTTGGACTTGGGGATCTTAGAGGTCTTTTCCAACCTGAACAATTCTGTGATTACCTTGATACTGCTATCCTGTGCTAGACTTTGCAAGCTTTCTAATTTTCACTTTGATAAAGAGCACAAATATTTCCAGGCATAAAAGCTGTGCTTTGAGACCTTTTCCTTCTTTTAATTCCTCAGGAAAAAACCTGTGGAGAAGAGTAAGAAACTCTTCTTATATTACGTGTCGTTCTTCACCTCGCCCTTTGTAGTCTTCTCATGGAATGTTATCTTCTACATCGTTTTCCTGTTGCTCTTCGCCTACGTGTTACTCATGGATTTTCAGAAGGAACCCACCATCCTGGAGATCATCCTTTATGTGCTGGTCTTCATCCTGCTTTGTGATGAAGTGAGACAAGTAGGCAGCTCTTGAAAACCAAAAATGTTTAATGCTAGATTTAAAGCCTTGTCTTGATGGTTTCCTCCCTCACTCATAGCTTATGGCAGTGCAGTCTGCTTTAAAGTTAGAGTGTAACTGCTTCCTGGATTGTGCATTCTGTCCAATGTCTGGCTCCTATTTACGTCCCAATGGCTGCAGGCTTTGGGGCTGTTGAGCTATTTTACACACAGCTTTGGGGCTGTATGGGTACGTTGGTGCCACTGGAGATGCTTCTTAAGGGCTGCTTGATTGAGGTTGCCAAAGCAGTTGAGAACTTGGAGACCAGATTTAACAGAAGATTGACCTAGATACACACCAACACACACTGGTTTTCAAGCAAATTCAGTATTTTGGGGACCTGAATCACAAGGTGCTGGAAACGTCAGTGTGGTTTCAGTATACAGCTGCCTTCCGCTTGTCCTATGAAGCAAACAAGAGCTTCTGAGTGATGTGTGAATCAGACCACTCTCCAACCAGATCTCTCCCACGAACCTAAATGACTTGACTTAGTGTTGATGCTGCAGTGCTTAAATTTCTATGTAGTCTTTTTCCTTTTTAATACTCATGGTAGTGCCTTATTTAAGCCAGCTTTACTTGCTAAGGAAAATGGGACGAAAGTAAAAGACTGTCACAATGAAAACACCAATGATGTTTGTTTCTGCTGGTTTAGGTTCTGGTGCCTCTGGACCTGTCAATGCATTTCCTCTGTGGACCAAGCAAAAATCCAGGGGAAAGGCTTAGGGGTAGAAACCTTTCTTCCTCCCAGTGCCACTATTTCTCACTAACCTGAGCAGATAGAACAGCTTCAGATCCCAGTGATTTCTTTAATAGCCAGCAGCCTGACTGTATCAGCTTGATTATGGGAGTGGAGGCAGCTAAAACAGAGACTTTATTGAGGATTTAAACTTGAAACTGATGCCCTCGTTTCAAAGCTATTTTTGGTAAAGAGCGGAAGGCAGAACAGAGTCCCAGCCCTACTGGCTTCTTGGGATGCTTTCTCCCTAGCTTCCTCTGAGATTGAGTGGACAAGTATGGGTCCAATTCTGCTATCAAAATATTATCTGTGTCCTTAATAATTACAAAATAGTTTTGTGTCAGATTTTGCTTTCACATCAAAGGAAAAGTCAGAGTAATGTTGCATGTGGTCCAAATGTAGATGCTGCAGTCAGATAACTATATGGAGGAGAAAATTGGTCCTTTGATAAGTAATGTGACCATGGAGTTACCAACTACTAGAAACATTCCCTTCCTGCTGTCTTTTTTGCCTCCTGAATGTAGCCTCCATCCAGGTCAGTGGGCAGATGGAGGCGTCAGGCTCCAGCCTGCTACATTTAATACAGCTATAGGGCAGCGCTGTGCTTATTTCTTTGTGAAAGACATTTGGACCCTATGCATCATGTAAAACATCGGTTCACTGTCATATCTAGTTGTTTTTTTTTGCCTTACTGAAAGCAAGGCAACTTATGTTTGGTGTAGGAAATTCTTAGAATCAACCCAGTGTCACAGGATTGCTGTCCTCCCTCTGCACTCAACCTTTGGTACCTTAAATAGTAAGAAAGGGGTGCGTATGGGTCCCGAGATGCTGAAATAGTATCTGGTAACATCTTGAGCCTTGCAACCTGCTAGCTGCCAAATACTTGTCTATCTTTAGCAATGCATGAGCCACCAAGTGTCAGAATTCTGCCTGAAGGGCTGATGGTCCTCTGGGAGTCAGGAGACTGTGCTCCACATAGGCTGCAGCATCGTAAGCACTTGTTGAACCTCCAGTTATCTGCCACTGCATGGAATTACTTTCAACAACTGCATGTGAATTAGGGGGTTGGAGTTGATTTTGTTGATTACACAAGTCAGATCACTCCAAACATGAATAAGGTAATGGAGCTAACATTCTGTGGAGCCTTTGTAATGGAATTTTTTTAATAATCAGAGCTCAGGACTAGTGGCTCAAACTATCTCTGATTTGAATCCAGAAGTTGGTTGCACACATTTTCAATCCAGGATGCACTACCAGTCATTCAGTCTGGGAAACAGTAGAGATTCTTACTAGCATGGTAATTTAGAGTTAGAGAGAGTCTGGTAGTTAGAAGAATTAATTACATCAGCATCTTTGTTCTAAAGCACATGCATGTAGCTAGGGACAGCTTGCTGAATGAGCTCTGATGAAAGAGAAGCCTGAATGCTTCAGTTGCCCTGAAGCAGTGACCCTGCCTCCCCACATTGTTTCAGCTCCTGGTAGGCCAAAGCAAGACTCCTTTGACCCAACTGGCAGCAGCCTGCTGGAGCATACTATGATCTACTCAAAAGCTCCCCGAGGAGCATTTGTGTTCATTCATGTGATCCCTAAGCACATTGGTCTCAGCCTTCATCAGGAGCATTCATTGTAGCAGCATCCATGTGATTGGGTTGTGTCCTCTGAGCACAGGAACCCACATTGTGGTGCAGTGTCTGCGGTCCACTACAAGAGCATGAAGTCGGTGAGCTCTAGACATAGAAAATCCTGACATGTAAGCAGTGAAAAACGTGTTGCCAGTAACTTCTGGTATTGCTGGGTTCCTAAAAAAACTCTTTGGGTAAATTGGAAACAATCTGGTGTACGTATTGTGTCTTACAAAGTATTACCTGAGCAAGGAAACAAACCTTACTGTTGTATTGGCAGAAGATTTACCCATCCAGTGGGAGAGATGGGGGGAGCAAGTACTCATGTATGAGCACCTCAGGTAACTGGCCAGTGCTGTGTGACTGTTGCTTTCTGCTCTTTCTCCATTCCAGTGGTATATGAATGGCAGTAAGTATCTCTCAGATCTGTGGAATGTTATGGATACCCTAGCAATCTTCTACTTCGTAGCAGGGATTGTGCTCAGGTGAGTGGCGTCTTCTCTTGTGGCCGTTCTGTGACATCCCTTTCTTTCCAACTTTTGACTGTAACTTGTCACGAGATTTTGGGAATCATGTTCCTGAAACTCCCTGTTCTTTACGAAGGCAACAAATACAACGACGTCTTGACTCTAAATTGTTAAAATCAATTAAAGAAATAATAAGGTGATTGGAGGAGCACCTGCATGAAACATTTTCTCTTTTGTTTAATGGAGGTTGAGTCTTTCTCTTGAATCAAAGTCAACCTCCCTAAACTCAGATCTTTCTGGGCTGTTGGGACAACCATTCTTAGTCTGGATTTGCATGTGCATGTTTACAAGAAGATGGCTTAAATGGACATAGATTTAATGACAGTACCTTCAAGTCTGGCAGTACAAAGCATTTCAGGATAAAATGATGAATGTCCCAGATAGTCAGAAGTACTTTGGGATTTCTCCTGGCTCCTGTTATTGACTATTCAGTATGGTAAACTGGACTCTGACCTGTAGTGTGTTGTGTTTAAGTGAACTGTAATTTTACTTACAGTAGTGTAACAGAATGTCCTCAGTTCACATAAGCTGCTTTACACGAATGGGTGGGTTAACAACCATGACAAAGATATGATGGTATTGTAATTGTTTAGTCAGCTATAACTTAGTTTTTGTTACCTCAGTGCAGCAGAGTGGTTGTTGCACTGTGATGAGGCTTAAAGATTACCTAAAGGTGCCTCGCTGTTAATATTAGAAAGAGACAGGGGAAGGCAGTGGTATAGCCAAGAGAGAATGTGTGTAAACATAGCAGGAGCTAACAAGTTTGATGATAAATATCGAGTGGGACTGGGTCAGTGGGCTTGAGACCCCAGGTAGCTGTGTTGTTTTCCAGTGATTTGCTTTTCACTCCCCATTTCAGTTGTTCCAGTGTGTTTTTATGTGAGTTCTGTATGCTTTAGCCAATGCTCTTCTTCGCTTTCTTTTGCTGTTTCCATCAGGCTTCACTCATCTGATGAAAGCTGTTGGTATTCTGGGAGAGTCATTTTCTGTTTGGACTACATAGTTTTTACTCTGAGACTGATCCATATTTTCACCGTTAGCAGGAATCTAGGACCCAAAATTATTATGCTGCAGAGGATGGTAAGATTCTGGCAGCTGTTCAAGAGCGTTTAAATAAATGATATGACAAGGTGTCATATCACCACTGTTCTGCTGATGGCAGCAAGTTCACTCCTTCTGTTAAATCTGCTAAACAGAATTAATTAAGATTTGAATAGGACCTAATTAAGAGCAAGGCCTTTTCCTCTGTGCAAGATTGAATTTCAGACTAAAAAAAGATTAAAGAACAGAAGAGAATTTTTCTTCCTCGTAGCCTTTTGTCTTATGTGTTTCAAATGTTTCAGTGGCATATTTCGGTCACTGGAGGAAGGTTGGTCTGCAACAACAGGAAGGCTTAACTAGGATATTGCTGGTCTCCACATATCTGTCTGCCACTGAAAGCTGGAAATGTATGAAACCACTAGCTGAGTGCTGGGAATATTAATGCCAGCTTTAAGCCACCTGAGATGGCGTTTACAGAAGTGGTGGCTGCTTTCACCTGGCACTTGGCTGCAAGGCTTACTGGTGTAATTGTTCCACAAATAGCTTTTACATGTGGATCTGTTTGTTTTTTTTTTTTTTGTGGAATGGAGCCTGTCTGATGATGGAGGGCCAATCTGTATTCTGAAATTTCTTGTTTTTATGGTTCTGTAAATGTTTTTGAAGTTCCCTCATGGGAATAGTCAGTTATTTCTGTACGTGCATGTTGGTGGCTGTGAATTTGCATGAAAATGATGCTAACTTCATAGAGTTATCTGATATGTGCTCTCCACTCTCACGTCATATCAGGGAGAAAAATGAAATGTGGAACGCCGACACATTTGCTTGTTGTCCTTTTTCAGATGATAGATGTCTTCTTCTTCCTCTTCCTCTTTGCTGTGTGGATGGTGGCCTTTGGTGTGGCCAGGCAAGGCATCCTGAGGAAGAACGAGCACCGCTGGGAGTGGATATTTCGATCAGTCATCTATGAGCCATACCTGGCTATGTTCGGCCAGTACCCTGATGATGTTGATGGTAGCTATCTTCTCTGATTGGTGGAAGATTCTGTCCTTTCAGTGGTTGTCCAGTCCGTTGTTTGAGTGGGAGAGGAATAATTCTGTCATCTGTGATCTTCAGAGGATCAGCAGCTGACTCATTTCCCAGGCTGAGGCCTTTGAAGCAAGGCCTAATATGAGAAATTAATCCCATGTCTAATAGTTTCCAGCTGTTCAGTTCTCCTCTGCTACCGCTTTTGTCTCTAGGTGCCAGCCTTCTTTTCTGCCTAGATAGCCAAAGTAACTGTAATAGTAGCTGTAATATTTGAGGCACAGCATCTGCCCTTTTGTCCCCTTTTCTCCAGAGCAACAGGGAAGGTTTTATGTTTGATTCGGGGGGGGGAGGAAGAGGACGCAACACATGTTGTATTCAGTTGCAATATCTGGGGCTGAACCAACAGAAAGAGAGGGAGAAGTTTCACTGTTTGCTCTCCTCTCTTGCCCTTTGAGGTACCACCTACAACTTTGACCGCTGCACCTTTTCTGGGAATGAGTCCAAGCCTTTGTGCGTGGAACTGGATGCCAACAACCAACCCCGCTTCCCAGAGTGGATTACTATTCCCCTTGTGTGCATATACATGCTCTCAACTAACATCCTCCTTGTGAACCTACTCGTGGCCATGTTTGGGTACGTAATAAAGGAGTGATCATCCAGCACTCTTGTTGAACCTCATCTCACTGGTTTCAGACCAGTGATCCAGCCTGTCCAAATCCCTCTGTAGGGCCTTGCTACCCCCAGTCAGATCAACCCTTCCTAATAACTTGGTGTCACCTGCAAACTATTAAACAGCTCTTAGTAATCACCAGCTGGAAGGGGTCACCGTGAAGCCTCCCCTCAGCCTCCTCTGCTCCAGGCTGAACAAACCAAGGGACCTCAGGCACTCCTCATACATCATACAGCAGTTCCAGTTAATAAAACCACGTATTTATTATCATAAAAAGATTACTGTAATAAGTCACCCATTTGGTCTAACATGACTGATAGTTTGGAAATTTGAGGTTGCACTTGTGATGTAAAACAACAGATAATTTTCAGCAGCACACTTGCCAGTTAAGGTCCTACATTATCTCGTGGAAGGGTCCATGAGGATCTCAACACAGGCATTCTGAAAACACCCACTTAACATTTAATGACAACAATAGAAGTTCAGGCACTCTGTGAATTGTTTGCTCTCATGGCTTTGGCTGTGTTGGGATCATGCAGTACTTGAGTACATTAGGTCTGATCCTTGCCAAAAACTCTCATTAATATCTCTACCAAAAACTTCAATAGCTTTTTTTTTTTTAAGTGACCTATTTTTGGGGTTTCTTTTTTGCTTAGAAATATGTTAGCTGGTGAATTAATGAGATATAGTATCTTGTAGTGAAGCATTCTGTTCTCATGTGTTTCATGTGTTTAGACTGAAAGAAAATTGCCTAGAGCTAAGATAGTGAAAACACATGGAGTATTTTCTCCCTTTTTCTAATTTTTGAGTTTATTTTTTACTTTATCTTTTTTTCTTTCCTCCTCTACTGTCTTAGTTGTATACGTTTGAAGGATTACACAACAAAGGATTGCATGAAAATGATGCTAACCTCATAAACTTTTCTGATACGTGCTCTCCACTCTCACATCATATCAGAGAGAAAAATGAAATGTGGGACGCCGACACAACAAAGGATTACACAAACTCAGTAGCCTTGTAACCAGGGAAAATGACTGGCTCCAGGATGACCTTACAAAAACACGTCCTAGTACGATAAAGAGAAATGTTATAACTTGCCTGTGATTGAGTTCCTTGCTGAATAGCTAATGATGCCTGTGTTTTCTCCTCCTTTGCCTGTCAGTTACACTGTTGGATCAGTGCAAGAGAACAACGACCAGGTGTGGAAGTTCCAGCGTTACTTCTTGGTCCAGGAGTACTGCAGTCGCTTGACCATCCCCTTCCCTTTTGTCATCTTTGCCTACATATTCATGGTGATGAGGAAATGTTTTAAATGCTGCTGTAAGAATGAAAGTAAAGAGCCATCTATTTGTTGTGAGTAGAACGGTTTCTTACTCCTTGAAAGTCAGCTCAGGGGCAGATGCAATTCTTTCATGATGTGCTGTGTTTAAGCCACATACTTTGGGCAGGACACACTCAAGGGCAGTGTAGAACCTCAAGGAGGTGGATGGAGTGGAAACGGAGAGCAGCTCATTTGTGTTCTCCATCAGATGCAAAACCATTGGAGATCTTTTTGACAAGATACAAATCAAAGCCTCAGCTTCTTCTCAACTCTGATCTTCATTCAGCCCAAAGTTGTGCTCTGTTTAGGATATGGGAAATTATACTGTTAACACGCTAAAATTCTAACAGGAGGTTTCAAAAATGTTGCTTTTGTTGTGATTCTTAGTCCCTGTCCCTCAATAGCTTTGGGTTTGGTCTGGTTAGAGAGCTTTTGAGTTCTACCATGATACCTGCTCCGCTTGAGTACTGTGCAGTTATCCAGTGCTTTCCTGTCTTCCGGGGCAGAATTACTTAATGTGCATCAATTAAGATCAATTAAGTCTTTGAATTATTTGTATCATTTTAGGACTGCTTGTGATACTTGCTAGCTTCGAAAGTTGTTTGTGTGTGTGTGTGTGTGTGTGTGTGTATTAGAGCACTGAATAAATTCATTCAGAGGCTGCAGCTGCTGAAAGTCATCTGCATGTTCTGCACAAAGAAATTAAAATAAACTTTTTCTGATCAGCTTCTTGGTAGGGCATTCCTCCTGCACCTTTCCCAAGTGCACTGATGCCTGGCTTGGTATGCTCTAAATGTTGAAGTAACTTGTACAGGAGGTGGCCTTAGTCTCTGGTTACTACTCTGCCTCCTGGAATTTCTTTTTCTCTTTCTATCTACCAGCTGATACAGCTATTAGCTGCAAGGGCAGCCTGACAGCTGTTTTCTTCATGGGCTCTTCCATCTGCTAGCATGTGATTGAATGAACTACAGAGACTTTCCTGGCCCTCTGGCAAGTGGACAAACCACCTCAAAAGCAGAGGAATGGTTTAGTCCCCTAGCAATCCCCTTATTTCCTTTATCAGAGAGCACAGATATGAATTTTTTTAACAAGCTTTTTTCCCCCAACTAGTGGAATGTCTTCAATTATTAAGTGCCATTTAGAAGCAGAGGAGAGATAAGTTGAGCTAATTGACAGACTTATTTCCCTCCATCAGCATCCTGACTTTTGCCGTGCAGCACAGGCAGGATTTGTTACTTCATTAGGACAAAGGCTATATATCTTAGGGCTATAAAATTCCTTAGTGCTGACTAAAATGGTCTTGGCTGTCCACTTCCCTCTCTGAGAAGGTTGTTTAACAGATATTTCTGCACAGATGATGCACAGTTGTGCATCTTGTAGTGACAGCAAATATAAGAATTAATTAAAGCCAGAATGTCACTTTAGTTGACATGTTGATGGGAACTGAGAACTGCACGGAGAAAGCACTGAATTGACTTGCGCTGTGTAGAGGAATCAGGGCTGAAATCATTTGTTGGCTCTTGGCTGCACACCTCTGTGACTGAATTAATTGCTCCTGAGGTTACATCAACCTTGGTGCTTCTTTAGAGAGCTGCAGTTAGTCTGGAGTTGCAAACAGATAAGAGTGTCTGTAATTGATGTACAGGCCTTATGCTGGCTTTTGAAGGGGAAAACTTAGCTAAATTTTGTCGTTATTAGGACCCATATGGTTTGGGCTGATCCAGTTGGAACAAGATAAAGTGCAGAAATATTATCCTAGAGGACTTTGATGCCTCCAAGTTTGTCTTGCTCTTTGTCATTGTTTAATTTACAGCATCAGCAGGAGATGCTTTTTAAGAGAAGTCAGTATTACAGCATTTTGAAATGTTTGAATTGAATGGTAGGTTATGCACATTCCTAGCAGGTGTTTTCTTAACAATCCACTATAGGAAAATGCAGAAACAGTGAATACAAAGAGGAAGTTGACACCCACGTAGGAACTTTCCTGTGCCTGGTGGAATGGCTGCAGTTTCACAAAGCACTAACAAAGACTCAAAAAAAAAAATTAGAGAGACTTTTGTTTGTTTTTGTTGCTGTTTTTAACCAATTGTGATTGCCAGGAGCATGCACTATACTGCATTAGGGTCATGTTCATCAGAACGTTCTCAGAGGTGGAAGCAGGGCTGTGAATGTTCTCTATGCAGGGAAGGTAATAGCAAGCACTAAGCCAGTCTTTGTGCGTCTTGCCAGTAGGGACACAAATGGACTGAATTTGATGTTTTCTCTGTATTTTTGTTTTTTTACCTACATTCCCCAGGCTCAAAAAATGAAGACAATGAAACTCTGTCATGGGAAGCTGTCATGAAGGAAAATTACCTTGTCAAAATCAATACCAAAGCCAGCGATACCTCAGAAGAGTACGTCTAGCCTTCTTTGTCTTCATTCCGTTAACGTTCTGTTGAGTATTTTTAGTGATCCCAAGTTTTCAGCAGCTCTACATTTTTACAAACTATTGTGTATATGAATAAACCCAGTATGAACTCAATAAATAAACCCAGTATAAAGCTGCCTTTTTTTAATAAGATGATTCTTTTTTTTTTTCCTCTCTATCTGTTGGCTTCAGAAATAGTTGATTGGGCTGGTTGGTAAAATGCTTAGACTACCAAATTGTGATGCACTGATTATCTTTGTGATCAATCCCAGCACAATCCCAGCATTTTCAGACTAATAGTATAAGAGGAAAGATAAAGCTAGAAGCTAGAAAACAGCCAGAAAACATTACCTGCTATGTACGATGGCTTAATTTTGTAGCCAGCTTCCAAGAGCTTTGGAATTTCTCCAAATCAAATGTAAGAGAAGAGCTGATAAGAATAGATGGGGAAAAAACAGAGCCTTCCAGACTTCTCTATCCCTGCTGTGGAAGTTGCCATTTATGAACATGTTAAGTCTACACAGAAAGACTCAGCACTGGATAACGTGTTAAAAACAACGGGTCATGTTTTAAATTTGAAGAGTCTTGACAAGAAAGATGTAAAAGTGCAGCGTTAAGAATAATTTGTATGTAGTAATTTAGTAGTAGTAATGTAGTAAAATAATTTGCAGTAAATGCTTACTAAGGTAGGTAAACACTTTTTGTCCAGTGAGGAGCAGATGGGGTGGTTAGCCAAGACTTCTTTAGTATCTGGATTCAGCCCTCTCTTCTGTGTCTCTTTCTGTTTTCAGGATGGTGCATCGATTCAGACAACTGGATGCAAAGGTACTTGTATTTCATTCTGCTCTGGGGGATGTGCCTGTGTCTGATAAAGCAGATAGCGGCTCACTTGGAAAATGAGTCATTTGTTGTCTTTGTTGCTACCACCAGGATCCCATTTTCATGGTGCTTTTTTAACCTGCTCCTTTGCACCCTTGATTCTGTATGTAGCTTCATATTGTGCTGGAAAATGAAGTAGAAAAGATGCTTACATAGCGTTGGAGAAGTGTTTTGCAGTACCTTTGATTGGATGGACAGCAGTAAAGCCAACCACCCACAAAACTGCAGCATTCAGCTGTTTATATGACCCTTGAAACACTGATGGGAAGAAGCAGCATTACACAGAATACATCCTTCTCAAATACATCTTCTATCAAGTTCAGCCTCTAGGCCAGATTGCAGCAGGGATCTCTGCCAAAGGCCTTGGTCAGGGTTATCTAATGAATACCAATTCTGGGGCTGTTCAAGATGGCCTTTATGCTGTTGTTTCTCTGACAGTGCATCTGCATTGCTGTAGAATTTGAAGGCAGCTGCGTGTGTGAGAATGTTTTCTCCAAAGTTACTTTTTTTTCCCATGAAACATCCCAATGACTTCCCAAAGGAATAAGATCTTATTCTCCCTAATTTGTGGTGCTAGAAACTATTCCTTGGCTTGGCATCTCTGCAAATTTATATTGCAGGTGTTAAAGGAAAGGGATATTAAAAAAAACACAACAATTTGGGGTCCACAAAAATACACTGATCAGCCATCTCTGCTTTGGAGGAGCAAAAGGAGATGGGAAATAGTTTGGAGCTTTTAGCTGCTTGATGCCTGCTTGTTAAATAACTAAATTACATATGTATTAGGGCTCACTGCATTAACTGAATAGCTGAAAACTGTAATTGGAAGAGTCTTTTCAAGTACTATTGTATTTGAGATAATATTTTGCAAGGCAATTGCTTGTATCTCATATTACTTATTAGCATTACTTTTGTGTGAAAAGCAATATTAACAGTGCTTCATTTGCTGTCATGGTGTGACTACTGAATAGGAAGAGCAGTCAGTTACTGCTATCTCACTAGTGGCTGGCACCCGCAGGGTAGCCAGGTAAGCAGGAGTTCAGATTAGGGGTTTTATGCTCGTTGTTGCTGATGTTGTATGGCATTTTCTCTCGCATGTTTGTTCTATGTTGTTTAATGGCACTTAAAACTGCTTCCTTTTCCTGTTCACTTTCTACCAACCTGAGCTGCAGTCATCTGCTGGAATGAATTAGACTGACTTGTTTTTTTAATTCTTAAGCTCTCTGATTTGAAAGGCCTCCTAAAAGAGATTTCCAGCAAAATCAAATGAACGTGGCTGAAAAGCAGCTATCTGAGCAGGGTAAGCCCTCTTTAAATCCATTCTCTGACTTGAATGATTTATCTGTGATATTAAACTAATGTGCTTTTGGAAGTCCAACTAGAATTAATCAATTAAAAACATAACTTTCTTCCATGGTTTCTAACAATTTTTGGGAAGGTTTAGAGTAGTTATTCTGCTTTCTTGGTTGTAGAATAGCAGACTTTTGGAGATCATCTCATCCAAGCTGCTCAAACAGCACCAGGTCAGTTTGGGACATTAGATACATACGTCATCCAGGGCTAGCACTAAGCTTCAAGGATGATGATAGAGTGGCTGGGAGAGTGTTTGAAAGAGTGATGAATGACTGGAAGTCTTAACAGCATAATCTAGAAAGGAGGGAATTAATTAGCCTTGGAAAGAACTGAGAAGATGACCATTATCTGCAGCTTCTGTAGTATCATAGGATAGTTGTGGTTGGAAGGAACACTTTGATCCAAACCCTGCTTAAAACCGGGCTAGCTCAGATCAAAGTTTCAGGAGGAAGGAAACCATATATTCTTCATACACATAACAGGCTTAATTCACAGCAGGGCATTTCTAAGTTAAGTGACAGGAAATGTTTTTGAGCAGTAGCACTTGTGATGCCATGAAGCAGTCTGCTTTGGGAGCTTTGGAAACCCAGTTTGGCTAAAAGCTGCCTACAGTGTTTTAGGTATATTTGGTCTGGTATTCAGAATGGTGGACAGAACCGATCTCTGTGAAGGCCCTTCCAACCTGTTTATGTCAGAGCTCATGGGAGTGACCTCTGGTTGTTACTGATCAGTGTCTTGAAAAGTTGGAGTCCCTTTCCAGCTCATGCCCACTAAAATGTCTACGTGACATCCTGGATGTGAGCATCTGCAAAGACATAACAAGTGAGGCACTGGCACAGGTTGTTCGGAGAGTTGGTGGATGCCCCATCCCTGGAGATGGCCTAGGTCAGGCTGAATGGGGCTCTGAGCACCTGATGGAGCTGTGGGTGTTTCTATTCATTGCAGGAGAGCTGGACCAGGTGGCCTTTAGGGGTGCCTTCCATCAAATGATTCTATGATGTTAGGTGATGCAGAGAGTTCATTGATTCAAAGTGTTTTGCAAGACATCCAAGGTTCCAAGTGGATAGAATGAGGGTGAAAGCAAATCTACGATCTCAACTCTGAAATTTTTCTTTTGCTCACACAGGTTCCAATTCACCAAGAATCTCAAAGCTGGCAGAAACCACCACGCAAACAGTCACCAACTCACCAGAGTGTCAGTGTCTCAGTTCTGTTTTTAACAAGACAACCCTTTCACCTTGTTGGATGACGATGGTAAAACGTTAAGATTGTTTCTCTCCTGTCAGAACTCCTGCATTACTCAAGCTCATTTTCCCTTGCTTTCCCAGAAACTCAATGATAGAAGATAGTTCTTATGAGCTTCTGTTAAAATTCACTCTTACTTCCAAGCGTACTGCTGCTGCTGTAATCACTCTGCTTTTGAATTTCACTTGAAGGAATCTATTCATGGGTTTCCTTTGGCGACCAATTGCTTGTCTTAATAAATCTCCCTTTCCTCTCCTTCATGTAGTAGCCATCTCTTTATGTACAGCCTATCTGCTGAAGTCTGTAATGCTGGCATCTCAGGTCCAACAGCCTTACCTTGGACTGCAGATGAACTTCCCTCTTCTACCTGTAACTGTGTAGCTAGCAATGCAGAAAATCAACTGTTACAATCCTGCGTGAAAAGGATGTAATTCATACAGAAACACTTTGGAAATGCCTCATGTGTAATCCTTACTTGTTTCTATGGGTGGGACTGGAGCATTGTAATTTGTTTTTTCTTTCAAGCATCTGTTTGCAGATGTTTGCATTGTGGATTTCAAGTTGCGAAGAGGTTGTTGGCTAGCTTTAAATTTTGTTATACTTACTATGCTCTGGCTGCTCTTGCTGTTTTCTTTCTGAAATAGCAGCTGGTTTGTGTGGCATTTGTGTGATATAACTGGGCGCATCACCAGCTGTAGGGAAACCACTCCAAATGCCCCTCATTTACCTGGCAACATGTATCCATCTTCATCTCCAGCATCTAGGAGCAATCACCCAATACGTTTGATTCTGAAGACTTAGTTTTCCTTATCTCACTATGGCACCTTTAGTCCATGTGCTTTACCATGGCATACAGCTGGTTTGAGGGGCATCAGGCAGAATATATGAAGGCAGGACATATACAGCTAGGTAGGTGGAGAGAGAATTTCTCTGGAAGCAGATCATTTCCTATGGCAAATCAACTCATCTAGTGCAGAGAACCATTTACTGCCTGGCTAAAAAGCACAACAGGGCAACAGAAGGATACAAAGCATGGATGTTTTGGGGGAATGTTTCTACCTCTGAGATGCAGCTGACTGAGGTACAGCAAGCTGATCAAAGAGGCCAGAACACGCATGCATTCTGCAGGTAGACCTTTAAATCTGACCCCTTTTTCTTACATTACCAGAAAACACTCCAGATCGTCCTGCTTCACTGTTTGCAGAAGCTGCTCTGTTTTTTTTCTGTAAAAGCAATAGTTTTCCAGGGAAAACTGATGAGGCCTTGACAGAAGGGTTACTGATTATTTTCTTGCTGCTTGACCTTTCCTGATGTTACTGTACACCCTGCTTTGTCCTGGGGTGTAGAGCATTACAAATAGTAGTGTTCCTAATTTTTATGTATATGGATATTTCAGTATTTTCCTGTAAAAAGGATTAGGAAGAACTCAGCAAGACCTTCATAGTACTCTGTGGTATGTAGAATCACATTATAAATAATTAACATCGATTTACTTTCTAGAAATTATTTCTTGTGTGATGTTTGCATATCTAGGATGTGAAAAATATACTTTCTGTGCATAACTTTAATTTATAAAACCTGCAGGATACATGCCAGAACTCATAGTGAATAATTCCTTTGTGAGATGGTGAATGTAACATCGAGATGAAGTCTGAAAGAACAAAATGCTTGGGATACCTATTCCTGCTTCTCCACCTTGTGTGTGCATGCCTTTCCTTTGTGGCAATGAATCCTTGGACAACTCAAGCCTTGAGCTTGGCTTCCTTCAGCCATGGCCCCCAGCTGAGGACTGGGAGGAGTGGGGGTCTCTTCCAGAGACAGGAGGAGAAGGAAGGAAGGAGCCCGCCTGGCTCCCTGCTGCCTTGCAGAAAGGAGATGGATGTGGCTGAAAGAGGTTTGTGGGCTTTGCATGGATGGATGGATGGATGGAGCCCTGCAGCAAGAATGGGGCTGCCACAGTGCCCAGTAGACTTCCTTGCTGGTTAAACTTCTCCAGAAAAGAAAGAGGGGGGGGGGGTTGGCTTGGTGTTTTTTATGTTGTTGGTCATTTGGTTGTGGGTTTTTTTGAGGAGTGTTAAGAGAGAGAGAGCAGGGATTAACAGCAAATCAAGGTTCTCCTGAGAGTCCAGGATTCAGCTGGGACAGCTGCTGTGACAACAGCAGGTTGTCTTCTGAGAATACATTCAATGGACACAACAGCACAGGACCAGTGCAAGCAACCTTCAGTCTCCCCCCCTACGCGGGATGAAACAATTGCTGTGACAGCTTGTTTAGTAAGCCCTAGAATTTGTGCTCAAGTGAAACTGCAAAACTTAATGCACTAACACACAGTACCATGTGGGCTGCAGTGAAGAACACCAACTCTATCTCAGACAGACCCAGTATAGCAAGATGTGATTTGGAACAGCGTGCGGCACATTTAAATAAACTTGATGAGGTAGTCATTCACCTAGAAGAGCTTGCAAGCAATGAAACGCAGAATTCACTTGGAAATATTTACTCAGCTCTGCTGGAAGCTGATGGTGAACTGATGGGCAGATATTTGCAGATGAACGCTTATGTACAATGTTTGGGATAAGGAAAAAAGCCTTGAAAATTATCAGTATGGTCAGCAAAATGTAAAAAAACAAAACAAAAACCAGGAAGATGTATCTCTCTTTCTTTGGCTTTCCAGGTAATGGTCTTTGAGGCTGGAGGTAAAGTTTGTCTTGCATCAACTACAGCATTTTACCAGTGACCCCATAAGAACTATTACTGCTGAGCTGGCAGAAACAGGAAATATAAATATTTAATGTTTCAAAGGCTCAAGGGAACGAAGAGAGAGACCTCTGAAGTTCTGCTGCAGGCTGTGATGTTTAAGAGCAGCCACCCAGTGTGCAGTGTTGAGATTTTGTTTGCTGCAATGTGTGCTTTCTATTGCTTCACTCTCAAAGTCCACAGCAACGACAGTAAGAACCACGCAGGTTTAGGCTGCATTTCTTAGACCAGCATGGATGGTGCACCTTAGGATTACAGTGCACAGGGGTTTGGGCACTGCCTCTACATGCTCATTGAATTTAATCTTTGTAAATTGTTGTGATGAGCTCAGTTTCCTACAGCTTTCAGTCCTGAGACAGAACAGCTCAATGAGTTCCCTGGAACTACAGCAGATATTGCAAAACATGAAACTTCCAGAGTACAAAATCTGAACATACAAGATGGATCTGTTTCCATCCTTTCCATTCCCACTGTGGGTATGGGAAGCTGAGGTGTCACTATGTTCATTTGTTTTCACTTCACTGTCCTTTTGGCCATCAAATCTTTCAGTCTTGCTAGTGCTTTAAGAGAAAGCTGAGAATGGCACTGAGAAATGCAGCCAGTGTAGCATAGGGTACCATTTCAGGAGGGTATGTGGGCAATTAGAGAAATTGGAAAAAAGAAAGACTTGTTCTCCTCCATCCCAGCTGACCCACGTGGGCGAGAGCTGAATAACTTCTGACAACCCATGGACTGTGCACTGCTGTACCATTGCCTCCTAGTTTCTCCAGGGGCAAACAAGATCCAAAGGGAGTTGAAGTTGAGTCTCTGTTGGTGTCTGTGAATGATGGCTCAGGTCTCAAAGTCTTTGTTAGTTTGAGCAAGATCTGGAAGACTTTTTCCTGTTGCTATCACCTATAGTCAATACAGCAATTAGGCTTCTGCATAATGAGAAACAAGTTAACCACAGAGAAAAACTTTTAGGGAGCCTTTTGATTTTGCCAGTGCCAGAGCTAGGAAAGGAAAAAAAAAAAAAAATGCAAATAGCCAGCTTTTCTTTTACCTAGAGAGACATCATTAACTTTTATCTGCCAGGAAACAAGCCATGGGGAATAGTTTCTGGGTGGCTGATACGGTGTTTGGACTGTTTTCAAGAGTACAGATGTAGCAGTGCTGCACAATTTACATTTTTAATGAAAATGTATATTGCAATAATCAGAATTTCGGAATGATTGTTCTCCCAGTAGTCTGGGAACAGCTGGGAGCGAAAATGGTCTGAAAACAGTCATGTAGGAGAAGTTTAATAACTCTGATGTTCTCTTTTCTTAAATGGTGCGTAACTGTTTTCAGTGTGCGCTAAGTTGGATGTATCTCCCTGCCCTAAGGTGCTTGGCAAGCCTGTAGCATTGCCTGGTGTTGTTGTGACCAAAGTGCAGGACCTGGCACTTGGTCTTGTTGAAACTTACACAGCTTGACCTCATCCCAGCAATCCAGCCTATCCAGGTCTTTCTGTTCAGCCTTTCTACCTTCTGGCAGAACAGCAATTACTCCCAGCTTGGTGTCATCTGCAAACTTTCTGAGGGTGCACTCAATCCCATCATCCTGATCATCCATTGATCTCTACTCTCTGGAGATATGTCCAGCTTCTTTTCAACCCCCCTGCCCAGTTTGTTTTCAACGCTTTCTGCCCAGTTGGACAAGACACAGCAGGCTCTCTTAAGAATCTTGAATCTCCAGCTCAGTTTAAATCTTCAGCATTGTGGTGCCTTGTCCTGGCTGTAGGGGGAGGAATGTTATTGGCCTTCCTATGGCACAGAGAGCAGTTAAGGAGATCTGAAAAAGAGGAAGGACAGGCTTTGCTACATGTGAGTGTGTCCAAGATCTTGGAGGGAATCTCTGTAGCTGCAGTGAACAAGGAGAATGGATGTACAGAGGAGGCTCTGACTTCTGATGAAATTTCAGTCAGTATTTTGATCATGTTCCCAATGCTGAAATTTAAGTTGGCTGGCAAAAAAATCAACTTCATTTTGGAAGATGCACTCACATCACAGCTTGGGTGGGATGGCACACACATCTGATGTGGCACTACCCCGTAACGTGGCTCTGATAAGCTTCCCTTTTTACACTCTCTGCTTATCCCCCCCACGCAGGCATGGCTTTTTTTTTTCTAGCACGGTCTCTGTTTTCATGTGCACTTTTAGCAAGTGCCACATGAGCCCTTTCCTTGTTTGTAGCATGACTTTTGAATCCAGTGACATTCAAGGCCCACATGTGGGCAGCTGTTTATTATCATGTCTTACAACTACATGGCCTTTACGGGTCTTTGTCCAAAAGTACTTTCAGTATTAGTGCTGCCTACCAGAATCCACCCATCTGCCATCCGAACAGTCAGATTCCTCCAGCGTGCAGCCTTGCAGTTGTCTGCCATCCTGCAATCTGGCCTCTTGTGAGAAGGAAGGAGCTCCTGACAACTGTGTCCTTCGTCCAGGAAAGATGAATAAACTGTGGCAACGCTCTGAAGTAAGAGCTGGTGTTGGATTATGAGCACTGTTGAACTGTCACAGCTGTGAACTGCATTTGGCTCATCTGGAAGATATCCCTGGTGAGAGCCAGGGACAGGAGGAACTCTTCTGATGACTTTGCTTGGCTTAGCTTTGCAACATCATTATTTATCACTTTTGGAGTGCAAAGCCCAGACTGAGGAGGAGATGAATTGCTTGTTCTTTCAGCATTGCTTGGAACATGACTTGCTTTGAATAAAGATGGGAGTAGCTTTCCTTTTTTGACTGCAAGTACTTCGTGGTTTTTCCCAAAAATAAGAATATGTAGCCACCACTACAGCACAAGTTATGAATGCAGCAATGAGGAATGGCAGGGAGGTGTGACATTGGCATTGCTGAGTATTGATAGGATGCTGAAGGCTACCTTAATCCTAATGTAGTCCACCAAGGACAAGCAAGTAGACGCAGTAGTCTCAGTGGAGCAACCTGTAATCAAGAAAGTATAAGCAATCAATCACAAATATGGGGAAAATCGAGCAAAAAAGCAAACAAGGGAGGGGAGGATGAGGAATGGCCCTATAAGTGATATTTGGGTTCATTAAGGCTTGACTGCGTATTAAAAAACACACTCATCAGTATTGAGGTGAGGCTAAAATGAGACAGCAGCAACCTCATCCCAAATCTAGAATCTTTGAGCCCCATAATACACACATGCAGCAAAGTTGCAATAGAAGAAGCGATTAGAAAAGGGAAATTGTTCTGTAAACAGCACTATATAAATAACTGCACTTCTGTTTGGGGTGTGCTTGCTTTGTGAAGGATCGCCAATGGCCTGACTCTACTCAGAATTAAAGTAGAGGCTTTGCATGGATTCTGAATCTTCTTATTGACTATGTGCATTGGGCCTGAACCCCACTAGGAAGAACAGTTCTTGGTGTCCAATGTGGGGCTCCCAAAGCAGCCTTTTCCAGTCTTCTATTTGGTGTTGGCAGTGGAGGACAGAATGTCTGGTAGAGCCATTAGATATGTTGCCTGCACTTGGAAAGTGAGACCAGCAATTGCTGAATGCCTTGTGTTGGACAGAATAGAGAGGATAACTTGCAGCTCGGCATTAGTTAGCTAAATGCTAAGGTGTCAAGTCTACCCTGTCCCTGTGATTCTTTACAAAGCTTTCCACACTGAAGAAACTTTGTGATTTTTCAAAAATCCCATTCGTCTATGTGCAGAGAGTGAGTGCTGAGCATTAGGAGGATCTGATGAGGGAAACCAAGTGGTCTCAGGCACTTGTTTTGTTAGCTGGGCTCTGGTTTGGCAAAAGAGGTCAGGGCAATGTGGGACTTCTTCAGGTGTGTGCTAATTAGCAAAGAGCTTATAAGGTAAATGGGCCTGGAGTCTGCTCTGTGCCTTGTGACTGGAGGATGTGTTCAGTGCTTAGTCCTGATGGGTCATGGCATCAGCCGTGTCCTGGTGCATGGATTCCCGTTCTTTTCCTAGGAAATCAGGGGGTTCCAGTTCCAAAGTACTTTCTGTTGTGCCTGGGACACAAAAGTGTTGGTAATGGACTATGGAAAGTGTTGTCTCACCTGCTTTCAGGCTAAAACTCATGGCTAAAGTGAAAAAAATGACTACATCTGCCACTGCCTGTGGAGCTATCAGGTATCTAGCGCTTCTTTTTAACCACAGTGCTAAGGAAAAATACAGCAGTCCATCTCTTATCAGAGAACTACTGCTAAATGGAGAAAAGCTGACAACAAATATTTACTCTCAGATCAATTCTGTTTAAAGTGCAATGTTTGTAGCAGAGCTTGAACACAGGAAGGTCAGATATAGTATCAAGGCTGCATGCATATAAAGACAGGAATATGCAGTGGACACTCTTGCTTAGATGGGGAAAACGCGGGAGGATTTTGAGAGGCACACTATGAGGAGCTTGATTTTTGTCCTCACTCTGAGCGTTTTCTCATGTTCAGGTAAGTTGTTCAGAATTTTTCAGTCCTTTTTCATATGGCTTAGTTAAGAAAAACAGTGAGTTCTAATGGAACTGTGTGTCTGCCTCAGGGTTTCCAGTGTACGATTATGAACTCCCTGTCACAGAAGAGGCTCTCAATGCTTCTATTGCAAGGATCAATTCTCAGTCTTGGGGGCCAAACCTGTATGGTGTTGTCAGGAGCCACGTTAGACATGTGAGTGCACAGACAACAGAGATCCTTTACCTTAAATATGCTTTGCTGTCTTGGAAAACTGGTTGGTGGTTTGGGTTTTTTTTTTGTTTGTTTGTTTGTTTTGCCTAATCTTGGAAATGCAAATTTAGTTGGAGTTCTCTGATGCATCTTGGAAGAGTGTGGTCTGAGGCACTGTACAAAGCTATGGCTTTAAATGTTCGTTGTACGTGCAGTTTTAATTAAAAGCATGTTTGGAGCTCAAATTGACCACCTCTAGAATAGAAGACTTCGATGGATATCCTTAAAGATTTAGCACAAAAATTAATTTAGAAAAGAGCTGGTGTTTCTCAAATACCTCCAGCTGACTGTTTTGCTTTGGGCATAGAATAATGTGGATTCCATCTGATGGAGGTATTCAGTGCAGCTGAACATCTGCCCTCTGGGCAAGCACTCTGCATAAGGAGCTGACAAATAGTGACTCTACAAGCTGCACCAACTCAATGTTCTGCAGTTTTGTGACTTGCTTTCCAGGCTCTGCTTGATTTGGCCTTTCTCTAACCAGGTTGACATGTGGAACAGCAATGATTATAGACTAGAGCTGCAGCTCAGTATTCGTGAAACAGAATGCACAAAAGCTTCAGGAAGAGACCCATTTACATGTGGCTTCAAAGTAGGGCCTTTTGTGGTAAGTGCCTCTGGTGTAAGTGGGAAACTCCCCTCAGTGCAGAGTGATCTCTGGACAGGTTGAAACACTACTGATTGGCTCTCAGAAGACAAAAAAAAGCCCAAATACAACCTGCAGAATAGAGTGGGTATTACATGGGAAGGGGTCATGTTGAGAAACTCTTATTTCTGACCAGTGAGGAATACATGAGCTGCCCTGAGCTGAAACAAGAGGATGCTTGCCTTAGAATGGCATGAGATAAAAGTGTCTGTGTGCTTTGCAAACAAATCCTGGAAGGAAAGCATAGCTGCTTTTACAAGTTAGAGGATGGTAAAACTGGTACTTGACCTGATTTATTTTCTACCATGCATGTAGGCAAGAAGTCAGGAACAAGGAGATGAGAACAGAGTTGGCAGTCTGTATAGGATGGTGTGCAGCATCCTCACAGCTTTGTGCTGCAGCATGTAGTAAGGCTAGGAGTTGATGTGAGGTAGGGATGTTATGCTGTTTGGAAGGTTGCAACAAGGAAGGGTTTGGCGACTAACTACAGTTCTTTTAACTCTCCGAATTCTTGTCTCTTTTCCTCTGTGAATGACTGCCAAGTTCACCTATTCTTCCTGGGCACAGAGTTTAGGGAAGAGGAAGGATTTTAGGAAGGCACTGAAAAGGTGGAATAAAGGCTTTTCTGGTAGAGAATGAGTTGTGCTACCAGCCATTGGAGGCAGTTTATGCACCAGAGAGAGAGGCAGATGTCTCTTTGGGTATTACTACTCTTGAGTTGAGTGGTTTTTGTGTGCATAGAAGGAACAACACAAAACTGATGAATGTTATCAAGTTTTCTTCCAAATCAGAGGGATTGGTGGCTGTGAAGTTATTACTGCGTCCTAAATGGACACTATCCCATAGCTCCCTCAAATCCCAATCAGAGGGCACCTGATTAGATCTACCTGTTTTAGATTAGATTAAATTTGAGTGAAGGCCTGGAATTGGTTCATCTTGACGTGTATGCTGAACATATTCATAAAGATTGAATGTCAAGGGAGGTGGCCCCACCTTAGGCACTACAGTTGGGTGATTGAGAAGACACGTCCTGTTTCTCTTCTTGTTGGTGCAATGCAGCATGAAAGATGTGAGGATGTCAGATTTCCATGCTTGGGTGCAGGCTCTGCCAGAGTTTCTGTCAAATCAGAGAGACAGCTTCTTTAATGGTTGTTCACCTTCTAGAGGTGGAGCTGGCATCAGCATCGCCGTGGGTAGATTTTCTGTTCGTGATAGGTGATGCTACAGCCATGAAAAGGTTTGGGAGAACTTTTTTCCTAACACTACCAGGTTCAAAGCTTCATGCAGGTAATATGCAATTATGAATCAATAAATTGTGTGAAGTTATACACCGCTAGAATATATTGACCTGGCTGCCAGAATTTGTTAGGCATGTCGCTTCAATTCTGTCTTCTTGGAATTTGATTAATAACCCCCTGTGAAGATTTCCCACTTAAACTCCTGCGGAGTGCTTTGCACTGTAGCTTTGTTCCACCAGATTCACTCTATTTTTATCTGTTACAGCCAACTGCAGTCTGCAAAAGTGTTGTGGAAGTCTCCAGTGAGCAGATTGTGAATGTTATTGTGCGATGCCATCAGAGCACATTCAGCTCTGAATCAATGAGCAGTGAGGAGGTAAGGAAGTGAAAAACTGCTTTTTTGCTACCTGGGAACATAAAAATTCTGCTTATCCTCTCTCAAGGAGAAGTCAGGTATTTAAGTGTCAAGTGAATTTTTACAACTGGCTTTGACACTCTGAAGCAGCTTTTCAAGGACTTTCACATGTCATATCACTTAGCAGTGTTCCCACGTTGACAGTGGAAAAGCTGAGGCGTGAGGGAGCATGGAATTTGCCCATAGTTCATCACTGTGTCCCACCCAAAATGTAACAGTCATTTAAGTCTTGAGTATTTTTTCTGTGTGCTGTCACGTTGCCAGAGGACACTCCATCCCAATGGTGGCACATACCATGGAGTCTTTATCCTGTCCTTACTCAGATATCTGGTAACCTCCTTGTTCTGTGCTTTCTGTGCTGTGGAAGCTTCTGACATGTATTTAGAGGCAACTGGAAGTTTACAGCATAAAGCTGTTTGTCATTTGAAATCCAACTGCCTCCTCTAATGCTTCAGGTTCCTTCCTGTGAGAGGCTTGACCTTGCTCGATCGATGCCTGAATGCAGTGTGAATCTCTGTGACAGTCTGGCACATCCACCAAACGTGACACTCTTTCTCCATTGAAATATACACCATGCCTGTGCCTGGAAAATAGTGATTGGCACATCTTACAGACAGAAACAAATTCTGGCTCTGTCATCAAATCCCTCAGCTGAGCATGTAATCATAGTATAGGTGAAGAGAGTTTGCTCCTCTGAGATTGATGATCCACTCATCTTTACTTTTGAGCTCTCATCCAGTTTCTAAGATGTGATTAAATGCTGACCCAATCAGTAAATCCTTGCTAGCTGCTTTCAGATTGTACCAGTATCCAATTTTTCCTTGAACTTATTCTTGAAATTGTATGCCTGCACTTACAACATAGGCCTGCAACGAATGCTGTGCTTGAGGATTATATTCAAGGAATGAAGCTAGTTTCACAGGCAAGGTGGCAGAGGATCTGTGGGCAGCATTTTCGGTTTTGGAAGCTGCACGTGGCGAAAGATTCCATATCATGTTCCCTTTATTTGAACTGCCAGCTTTTGTTCAGAATCTCTTCTCAGATGGAGATAGTAAATGCACCACAGGAATTCTTGATTTGCAGAGCAGAAAGACAGTGTGTGAAGTACTGAAATATGTACAGCAGTTTTGCATGTTCAGTCTGTCCTCTGTGTTAAGCGTAACTCTCCTTTAATTGGGCACTAACTATAAACACTTGCTTATATAAGCAGAGCTCTTCCTGCAAGTCTTCTTTAACTGTCACTTAAAATTCAGTGCTGCTGCCAATATTCCTGCTGGGGGATGTATTTCCTACAAATTTAATAAGGAATAAATGCTAAGGAGAATTATTGCACATGAAAAAGAAAGTCTTTCTGAACAGGGCTGCACTGCAGCTCTTGGTCTGTGGGTTGTAACTCAGTTAAAGGGATCTCAGGTTGGCTCACTGTGAATGATGTTGATGTACTGCTGGTGGTATTTGGGTAGGAGTGGAGCTGTGATTGAGGTTGAGGTCATACTACTGCGATAGGAACCTATACAAAAAGAATATAAAGAGCTTTAAAAACAGTAATTTGATGAGTCAAAGAGATGCCCTGTGTAGCTAGAACAAACTAATTCGGCTCTCTGAGTCCTGTTCTCTTGGCTGTATCTGCACTAAAGGTCAGGTAAGGTATTGGGTACCAATTTCTTTTTGAAGAAACTGCTTTAATTTACAGATGATGCATATGCTGATGACGGGCCCAAGCAAGCGAGGCAGCAGTCGCTCTGAAGGTAAGCCCTTTCTGCCATGCTGGACACTCCTGGCACAGGTTGGTTTGCCATTTGCATTGGCCACATGGAGGTCATCTGTCTGAGAAAGAGGAAAATACAAAAGGCCAGCTGTTTGCTCAGGTCACATCCAGCTTCTGTTACTGTGGAGGGGTGCTTCCCACTGAGAAAGTGGTGAAGGCATGGGGCTGCAAGACAGGGCAATGCTGAAGCTATAAGCTTGCAGCTGTTTTCAGAATTGATGGATTTGTGTTTTCATAACCTGTACTTGTGTGCCAACTTATGGTTGCCTTGATGTGCAGAATGCTGAAGAAACTTGCTTGACAGCATGCAGCACTCATGCATGTCTTCATGTTCTTTCCATTTTTGTTTCTGAAGCCTTCTCATCCAGGGGAAGAGGCCGCATCAGTGGCGACTGGAATA